TTTTTGAGCGCTATCCCTCTAAACGTTTTAGAGAAAGTCTATGGTGCTTTGAGAAGCTGCATCACTCCTGGCATTTTTGGCATTTCTGTGGATTCTCAGCGGATTTCAGTAATCCTTCACAGAACACACAAGCTCATAGACGGACACGGGAGATCTAACAATTAACAAACATGGATCCCAAGTGTATTGCATCTGCATGACCACAATGCTAGATCACCCAACAAAACATCTGCCCTGACTCTGTTAGCACAACAAAACAACTCAATGAATATGAAGCAAACTAAAAGTTTTTCCCCCTCTCCTTCTCCCACTATTTCAAGTCCCCCATCATAAATTCCATTTCTTTACTGTTTCCTGAAGGAAAGCCTTCCCACTCCACACTGAATCACAGAGATATAATGTCATTCCTAAAGAGCACACTTGTATGTCAACCTCTGTACGTGTAAACACTACAAGAGAACAACTCAAAGAAATGTTAATAGGCTGCAAACAAATGTTCGTTTGGATGTGAACTGAACCAATGTTTAACCAGCTTGAAAACAAACCTTGTAATCCACAGTCTTTAATTACAGAGCAGATCACTGTGAGAGGAGAAGCCCCCTGCCCTGCTCCAGTGGTGTGGCTATTTGCTAAGCAAATTGCCTGCGATCTGAGCAAATCCTGTCCTCTCCTGCGCTCTGATGCAAAGTGAGTCGGACAAGCATGCAGCCAAACAATGCAGTCGCACATGAGAGGGCTCTTCCCCTGTATCAAACACACTCATAGGAAAAGGCCAGAGGGCCTCAGATTCCTGAAAGCACTGCAGCTCCCAGGGAAGGAAATGATGCCGTAAAACCGAGGGGAAGTGGAAAAGTTTGACTAATTAAAAAGAGCATTCCTTAAATGTTTCCAAACATTTGATTCATGTTTAATGGGAGGTATGAAGCTCTGAACTGTCACTGAATGACACACTGTGTGAATGAAAGCTCGGATCTTTAGAAAGGCTCTTTACTTGAGAACTGTTCGGCAACCTTCTCTCCAACAGGCACGCAGAAGAGTGTATCCTTCAGCTCTACAGAATGCGTATTGTGAAGGACGAAAACTTCAAAAAAATTCCAAGAATGAGTAGCCAAACTAAATTTATATTTTCATACTGAAGGACATTATGATAAGCATCTGTGGTATTCATTTTTATTTTTGGAACAGTAAAATGATTTTTGTATTCTAGCAGGGTTTTTTGAGCGCTTAATTTCCATGATTTTTCCCAATTATTTCTTTAAAAGTATGGTGCACTCAGTAAGTTGTGAACTACATTTGACAGGTTCTAATTCATCCCATAGCAGCACCCATTAGCGTGGATGCAACTAGAATATGTGTACTAACTGTGGCTGGTTTGCATCAAAGCCGTGGGCTATATTTTTTTATTTTGTTTCATTTCATCTCCATTTTCTTCTTTACTGCACACATCCATATAAAAGATGTCATTGGTTTCCAACAGACTTTTATATGGTTTGTTTGAAATCATTTCATCGCTCCAGCAGGTGTCTTGTTTGGACTCATTTTGTTGAAATGACTTATATAAAGTAAATATAAGATATAAAGTAAACATTCAGTCAATTACATGACAGGACGTTTTTCAACATTTCAGGGACCAAGAGGGACCCTCTCCATTCAAAATAAAACAACTCTTTCTAGAAGACTGACATGATTGGATTCTTCATTTTACATGAGTGTAAATCATGTTAGTCACATTTGCCAAAAGTTTGGTTAAAGTTTTCATTTTAAAACAAACATTTTAATAAGTTACATGGGGAGCACATTTAAATCACCACAACGAGCCATTACTAGATAATAACTTGTACGATTCTTAATCATTAAAATAATCCAAGACCACAATTGTATAATTCACTGATATTTCCAAGATAGCTTTGAACATGCATCACTGTGCAACACGTTTTAGATTAGATTAACGTTACACGACGAATGAAGCGGTTCTTATGAAGTTCGTTCTTATCGATGTTTACTAAAACTGAAATTGTATAGATTTTTAATAAAATCGAACATAACTGTGCGAAGTTGTCACTTGCCACGTAAAGCGGAATCCAAAAGGAAAAGGGCAGGCAGACGCCCAGATGTTGAAAACTTCACAGTTTATGTTATTAAAAATATCTGAACACTGCAACAGCGCTCAGACAGTACGCTACGCTTCATTGCAGGGTGAAATTTGCACCAAGGTAGGCTAAATCAATATCACGGCATACGCGCGTTACAATTACACTCATTTCACACATAACAGACTTTCAGTGGAAGTGTTTGGGAATTTCATACGCATGCTTTACCAAACGTTACTCACCATCTTTCTTGGATCTTTGAAGTAATTCAAGTTTAAATCCCGTCTATGGTGCGGAAAGCCGGTTAGTAGCAGAACAGACCCAACTTCATAAATATTCACTATATCATTTTTAAAGACAGTAGGCAACTTTTCCACTGGTTTTCCCAAACGCAAGCCAACCACTCCAAGTCTCCGCCCTCCCCTTCGTCCTCATTGGTGGAGTCTTTTGTTTCCCGGTCTCTCATTGGTTTCAAGACACGTCAGTCAAATTTCTTGCGTTTCATCGTGTGGATGGACACACGCGTTCCAATGTGTGTCACGTGATGCGTGTGAACTGACCCGATCGCTCCACTGCATCTTTTGCTTTATCCAGTCCCACATTAATTGGGTATAAATAAATGAATACATTTGATGGGAAAAATCTTACAGTGCGTGTTGTAATAAATAGCTACGTAAAATACACACCTTTCTGACACCTAATGCAGGATAACCGCAACATAATTGTTTCCAAGCGCCTAATTAAAAAAAATAAAATCTTGATTATTTTGAAGTAGGTTGTGGTTTAACTATTAAAAACGACTCTAAATACAAAACACACTAAGTTGTTTTATTCAGTATAGCCTATTATTATTATTCGGTTATCTTGACTAGCTCCGAAATCACATTATACATTTTACATAATGTTGTCAAAAATATATTTCGTACTTGTAGATCCCTTTCACAAATGTCCAAAGTTACATAAATAGGCTACAGTTTGGCAAATATTTGCAGTGTTGTGTTTTTGCGGTGCTGTACTGCAGCCTAGTGGTCTCACACGCACACACACACACACCGAAAACAGTGATGTTTTCAGCTTCCAGGAATTGTGTACAGACGAGGTGATGGTCGTGGATGAATGACGCAGCAATGGGCCTCAGGATCTCGTCACTGTATCTCAAAATGCCTTCAATAAAATGCACCCGTGTTCGTTGTCCATAAGAGGTGGTATTAACATTAAGTGACATGGCATCTGATGCACAGAAGACAATTGCACATGTCACTATGCGTATTGACACACCTGGTGGTACATCTGGTATCCATTGGCATGTAGTGGACATTGGCATGTGTCAATGACTTTGTTGTGATACATTGACACTGACATTGTCGTGGAACATGTTACCGTACTTCCAGTAGTGACTGACATTTTTATCAAGCACAAGCAGTCATTTTCATTTTCCTTACTTCATGCATTTCAGGTTCAACGTCCTGTTTGATGCCAGCCCGTCCACCTACATGACGCCACACAAATGAGGGCATACAATGTTGGCTCAGTTTACATAAAAGAGTATGTCATCCTTTAAATAAACTGATTTCTGTTCAAATGGATAGGTATCTTCAGTATTACAGAAATATATTGTGTTGGGCTGATGTTTTTAATTTATGGAAAAAAGCCTTAAACAAAATGGAAATTCTGTCTCAATCACCCTTGATTCACACTAACGAAATAGAATTGTACAGCTGATAAAACACTGTAGATGAAATCACTCATTCACATATCTAAACTTGGTAAGTGTAATCGAATCACGCCTGCTGCATTAAAATGGACAACACTTCTGCAAGACAACAAAACGGTTCAAGTGAGAGAACAAACAAACACATTTCGGAGTAAAACATTTATTAGTTTATTAGTCTTTATTATTCTAATTTGTTTAACAATAAATCCTAAGAGCATCAACGGTAACTTAATGAGCTTTGAATCATGCATTTTAAACCAATATTTTAAATAAAACAAATGCATTTCAACAGAAATGTGCACACAATAGAACACTGATTCATATTTAAATATACAAGAGATTTCCAGTCAACATACTTTAGTCAGTTGTAGAAAACACAGGCTGTTTGTTGTTACCGTTTAATATTTTTGAAATGTAAAATTTGAAATTAACAATGAAATGTAACATGAATTTACATATAATCAAGCATGACTTTGATTATTCATTGTGGTACACATGAATTCCCAAATGAAATGTACTGGGGGGAGGAATGTGACAATAAAAACGGATTAATCACGCTTCAACCATGTCATGAGTGTTGGAGTTGTATAGTTTGTCCACCTACATCTACACCGTTGGCAACACTCGTGTATAACGCGCCACACATCCTGCAACCTGCTGATCCAGCCAGAGAGAACCAGTTATGCATTATCATATTATTTTAGTCAAAACTCATACTTAACTACAAATAACTAATGTTAGGGAAATCTGTTAATATTTTGTTGTGCATTTCTGAAATAAAAAAATAATAATAATAATAATATCGGCCGATATATCGGAATATCGGATTTTAAAACCAACAAATATTTGTATCGGTATCTCCCTTCAAAATCCTTTATCGGTCGGGCTCGACTTAAAATGTATTGTAGAAATTTATTTCATTTTCTACTGCACCCTCACACCATCCTGAGCTGATACAGAGGTCAAGCATTGTTTTTTTTTCCTTCATTCATATCCGGCAGTAACAATGTATGCATATATGTAAATAAATTTGACACTATCATGTTTTGCCTTGTCTGTTGTATTTGCTTGATATGCTGTATGCCATTAATGTGAATTTTCTGCTTTTTAACGCCTTCTAAAGAAACAAAAAATGACAAAAAAGGAAGTATCAAGTTTAACCAAAAACACATACAACTGTCTAAAACTATCTAAAGATAAAACAACTCGTTTCCATGCCTTATCTATCCCTGGTACGCACGTACACACACATTCCTTCCTACAAAGATAATTCAGTAAGTCAGAACAAACCCTTTTTATGCAGAACACAAAGAGTTCAGTCAAACATCCACACATGCTCACTAAACGCAGCCTACAGCTCTGAGTGACGTTTAGTGAAGTGATGACAGATCATGTTTGGTCATGATGCAATCACGATTTTCTTCATCATAAGACAATTTATTTCTGGGAGTAACAAATACGAGCCTATCAGATCAAAAAAGACAAAGATCTCCTGTACTCCACCTACTGCCAATGTACAAAGAGAAAAGAGACTCAAACAGCCCCTCCCAAATTACCAGAAGAGTAAAATAATTCTTCAGGACGCCCAACTCAACTCAAACAGGAAGTTGAAAGCAAGTTGCATGAAACGGACGGATTTCATGCATCAGAATTGTAATTATTTTTTTAAAGATTTTTAAATAGTTCACATAAAATTTGAATTCATTTACTCACCTTCATGTTGTAACAAACCTGTATGACTTTCTTTGTTCTGTAAAACAGCTTTTTGGTCCATAAAAAAAAGGGTGTTTTGGACTCCATTGACTTTCATTTTTCGGATAAAAAGAGTGCCACAGAAGAAAGCAAGTCATCCGGGTTTGGAATGGTTGATATACTGATGACAGACTTTAATTTTTCGGGTGAACTAATCCTTTAAATATAGAAATTTTACCAACCGTGCAATCTGTGTGCTCACATTGTAGTGGTTGGTGTAGTTGTAATTTGTAGTAGTTAGTGCTAAACCTAAAGCTCTTAAACAAACTTTACAAAAAACAAAAACAAAAAAAAAAACACTAAAAGTAACACAACTGCACAAAATTGCCTAATATCTCTCTGCTCCCATCTGATGTTTATAGCAGCAGTCTTCCTCAGACTGTATTTCCCATAAGGCATTGATCTTGGCAGTAATCAGCTGGCGTGGGGTTTGTGTCGTTCCTGGTCTTGGATTGGTCCGTTCTCTGGTGTGGGCATGTTGCCAAAGTTCCAGTCCACAGGATTGAGAAGCTGCAGGGTTTTCTTATGAGTCCAAATGGGGTTGAGGAAGAACGTGAGCAGGAAGAGGCCTATGAAGAACAGAAATCTCTGAACCAGAGGGATGTGTGTGTTCATCTCCTCCCAGTGATTCCAACACACCCACCACATGTAGTAGGACAGAACCATCCGGCAGTGGAACATGTGAATCATTATCCACTGGTTTGCTTTCCAGAACAGAGTCCTGGACCAGCCCACCTTAGCAAAAAAGAGAAAGGAATGTGAGAATTCACTTAAAACCAAGTGCAAAACAGAGTTTTATTAATTCAAATGTAGTTTATTCATAATTAGCTTCACAGAGAAAATATCTGAATCACTGAGCTCTAATAATCTCAAAAAATTGCTGTAGTTCATCCAAAATTAAAATTCTGTCATCATTTACTCACCCTCAAACCTGAATGCCTATCTTTTTTTGTGTAGAAAATGTCATAATTTTTTGTCCATACAGTAAATTGGGTCCAAAACAACTTCTTTATTGTTATTTTTCTAAAAAAAATCCACAGAAGGTCATACAAATTTATAACAACATGAAGGTAAGTAAATGACTGAATTTTCTTTTTTGAGTGAACTATTTTGTTTGATCCATCAAGACAATATTTGACTTGAAAAAGAACACACACACACACATACATACATATATATATATATACATATACATACACACAGACACACACACTATCCCTTGCGCCAATGAAGAGAATGCAATGCATATTAATGTTACGAGTCCAGAGACTAGAATTTCCTTTTAACTTCTTCGCCGTCTTTTTAGAACGCTGTGTCATGCATGAGACTCTGCAAGGCGATAAGTGCAGTGTTTAAACGTGTCCATCTAATGCATTCTTACCTAGAAAAACTATGAAAAGTAGCACAGTGGAATGCAAAAAGCATTCTGTGTGTCTCCTAAGGGGCCGTTGCATTTAAAAATGCAAGACAAGGCAGTGGAATAACGTAAGCATTGCATTTATAGAATGCTGTGTTATACCCAAGATGCTCCAAAAGTCATGAAAAGAGCACAAAAGGTCAAACACATCCATCTAGCACAAGAATGGACAACTTCGGTCCTGGGGAGTTTAGCTCCTCCAACCCTGATAAAAACTCACAGGTAGGTGTTCACAGCTGTTCAACACCATTACAGCGGTCTAGTAATCCTGAAAACATTGGTTAGCTTGTTCAGGTGTTTGATTAGGGTCCCTGCAGGACAGAAGTCACCTTGTCTAGCACCAACAACAGCTTAAATGGCTAAAACCTTTCAGTGAAAAAGTTCCTCTTTCTAAGAACTGTGTGTACAAATATAGCAGAACTATAGAAGTGTTCTCAGCCACCGAGCATGTTAATAGAGGTAAATATTTGAATAGAGGGGGGAAAAAAAACATGTTTTTCCCCAGACTAAAACAGAAGTGAAACTGGCTAACAGGTGAGAAAGCAGATGCGTTTCATAAGACCACTACAGTCTTCAGACAAACAATTTTTGCTCACAAAAATGTATCCTGGACAAACCTATCTATTAGCTAACTGCACTAAATCTCACAAAATGATTAGAAAAAAAAAAAATGTCCCTTGAACATTGCATCTCACCTTAAGCAGCATCCAGGAGATGCATGTGAAGGGTGTGCTCATCTCCATCAGCAGGGTTACCATAGGCAAGAAATGACCCAGCCAGTCCCACACAACCGCCCCAACAAACCCTGAAAGGGCAAAGAAGTGGTGTGCAGCTAACGGCAGATCGAAGGACCGGAACACCACGTTGGACCCATGAAGGGCCACATTTTCAAACAAAAAAAAGCCAGTAGCGGACAGCACATTGAACCACGACCAGTCCTCTTGCCCCAGAATCTTATCAGAAAAGACAGCAGAGTCCTCCATGAGCGCTCGAAGCCCTGCCACCATGCTTTGGATGCCAAACACAGCCCGGGTCACAGCAAGATCCCAGAAGACCTTGAAGCAAAGATAAAGATTGTAATGTTAGGAAAATAATCCAAATGGTAGAAGATCATATCAACAAAGCCTGAATCTTTTATGAAAAACCAACCATTACATTAACATATTAATGAACACCTTTTCTTTGGCTGACAATGAGCGGTAGGTGCGACACAGAAGTTTAGACAGGATATGAGAGAGGGTGAAGATGAAGGCGTAGAAGATGAAGCTCAGGCAGATGATTTTCAGTCGAACATCAATGGAGGAGTAGTCCATGCTTAAGTTGTGAGCCGAGGACATTATTAAGTTATCTGGCTGGGAGGATATTGCTCAGATTTCACAGTCAGTTTCCATGGAACCATTTATTAGTCTAGAACGAGAAAAACAAACATTACATTATAATACAGACACACCCTCATCCCTTCCCATTTATCTGCACTAACGTTACTCACTTAGAGAAAATGCTCTGCCCTTTAGCTACTGCAGTGAGAACCCAACGCTTGACCTTAAACAACATGTGAAGGAGTAAAAGTAGCTGGTGGAGACTAAACATCACTCAGATGTTCAGTCTGCTCTCAGCTGTATGGTTTCTAACGTTACAGTTAACGTTAACTTACTAACAAATCATATTTTCGACGTTACAAGTCTCTGCTTAGTTTGTTGTTTCGAAAAGTGTGCTGTCTTTGTTCTTAACTTACCTTCTGTAGACGAAATAATTACCAAGAAACTCATTATTTCCTGCGTACGAAAGAGTTAAACTAATAATGTTTTCTTATGACACGAGCTCGACAATAACATTGCTTACATTCCTTCACCGGCGACTCACATTTGAACGCTCCAGAGACCGACAGACAACATGTGACCCCATCTAGTCACATGACTATAAACGCTGCTCTGTCGCCGTCTGCTGGCAGGAAAAAAACAGAAATTATGCGATTTTTAGTGATGTATTTTATGCTACCCATAAACATTCAATGATTTTTTTTTCTTCTAGAAACATTAAATTAATAAATAGTAACATATGTTTAATTTTGATTTCATTATACTGAAATAAATCATATATGTTCAAATTAAAATTTCTATATATTTTATAAAGTTAAACAATATTATGGTGGAAAGTGTGTAATGCTGTATTGCAAAGATTAAAATCTCCCTTGATGGATGTATTGCTTTGAACTGTGTTTAGAACAGATTTTTATTATTTATTTATTTATTTATTATTACTCAGATCAGGGTTTAAATTGGTGATACTTTTTGTTTTGTCAAAACTGTTAATAAGAAAAGTTTAAATCATTTTGTTGACAATGTTGTGTTATGTTAAGGTAATTCATTTAATTCAAGACAATCCACATAACTCATTTCCTTCAAAAATTTAATGACTGAATTATTTACAATGTATGATCATAGCAATAATTAAGTCATGAAAAGAAACACAAATAATCCAGATGACCAAAAACAAAAAGTCAAATTCATAACACAATTTAAACATTTCATGAATACATATAAAATAAAATAAACTGATAAGTGTAACAATAAACAACATTCAAAAAAGGGATTTGGAAAAGCAATGAAGCAGAAAACCCCACATTCAGCATCAGAATGGTGCATGCCACCCAGAGAAACTCAACTCAACCAATAAGGAAGAGCAGAAAAAAAAGTTTTGCTTCAACAAAGGTTCAATTATGTATTTATATATATATATATATATATTATATTTATATATAACTATTTATATAATTCTGTACAAATAATGAATATTTGGTATTATATTCACCCTTCATATAGATATGATATACAGTTTAATAAATGAAAATATTCTCAGCTAAACAACTACCTTTTTCACTTGTTATTTTCACTAAGATTTTATAATCTTTTCACATTCTGAGATCCAGGATTAGTCCAGTCCCAAGAAGAACAAACCAAGAACTGGGTAATCTCAGTCCGCGCCGGTACCAAAGGCCCGTTGGCTGTTTTTCAAATACTGTGGTTCGGAGGGTAAAACATTTTGAATGAATCATTTCTTTTTGATAAATACTGACATTTGATTTATTTTGATGGAAATAAATGAAGCGAATGTACATATGAGTAGCGTAAATGTACATGAGGTTAAACAAGATGACCACCCAGTGCAACCCTGTTGAGGAAAATATGGCCATACAAACAAATCAACATTTGATTATTGACTCCACTGTTTTAAAAGGTGGGAAGTGAGCATTTATTCTTCCGAGCGGTTTATTAAAGGTCAGCTCACCATAACGCTTCCAGACTCTCATGATGACACATGGGGAAGATGGTGTGTGTGTAAGGATCTATAAACAGCAGAAGCTGTTCAAACATGTGGCACATAAGCATATTTGGCATATAAACACTGCCTGCATTACTGGCATGTTTGCATATTGATAATTGAGCAGGTTAATCAGAAAGGACAGCTGCCACACTGCAGGGCCGGATAATCAACCATAATTACTGATATAGAGAAAAACATGATTTAAAATAATCATCTCAGAATCCATTCCCTTTCGACATAATGAAAAATCAAATATAATATAATCAGGATGAACAAACGATGACCAACTATAACAAAGTGCTGCAAAATATAGTGTGCATTGTTAGCTCATGTTAGTTAATGCATTAACTAATGTTAACAAACGAGACCTTGATTTAAAGAGTAACCCATCAGTTTAGAGTGTATTTCAACAGTCTTGACTAGTTTGTAAGGCCAGGAAAGCGTCAGCAATGCCCTTTGGATTTCTGTAAACGCTGAGGGCCACGACTCGCACAACAAAGCCGTAATTTGCCCAGAACTTGTTTCAAATAATGACTCGCAAAATAATCAATCAAAACTTTTGTTGGTGTGAAATGAGAGCTGGTACACTCTATCGTGACTTTAGACACAATTTACAACTGAAACGTTTTGTTTTGGCTCACAATTTGGAAAAAAATACTTCCTCTGGCATGAAGTCGTCATTTTCTATTACAAGCCTCTCTTGGATGAAATGCTGTAATTGTGTTTGAACTACGACTTAAAGCAGAAAAGTACAGAGCACAGAGAAATTAAAAGAAAATATTTGCTTCTAAAGGTCATCTCGTGAAGGATATTGACAATATAAAGCTACAAGGAATTTGTGTAGATGTTATCAAACTAATCTCCTCTAATCTTTGGCCTCTTCGCCTTTTATGACGTCGGGGCAAAAAACACAGTAAGTGGGGGAAATAGTTTGCAATTTGGAATGAAATGTGACCGTGCTTGGTAGACAGTCCATTTCTGTAATGATATGTTGTGGATGAAAATTCTTTGAGAAGGCTTTTAAATCTTTCTGCAAGTCGAGGCAACCGTGACAACCAGAAGCGTTCGTGCATTTACACCATATTAACAGAATATCAAACGTGTTACAGCTGAACTGCTGGATGTTTAAGCAGAAACTAAAATCTCATGAACAGAAAGTGGGTCTCTTTAGTGATATATTCTGAATGATTGTATAACAATCCAAAGTAGCACTGAACTTCGGTTTTGATCATCTAATATAATCAACCATCCTGTGCAGTCACCTGTTCGGACAAATAGCATCAAATAGAATCAAGAACAGTTCTACTTTGATTATAGAGTTACATTTAACTTATCATTCTGCACACTCTCACAGATGTGTGGTATTTGGACTGCAGGTAGTCTAATAAATCATCTATCACCAACCGCCAAGACAATTATGGGAACACCCGACATCTCCTTCAACCGAGAAAGAATCATTGATTCTCTGTGGCGCAAGACATATAGAAAGGACATAAAAATAAGAAAACATGCTTGATAGGGTCAGATGCTTGATAACAGCATATGGAGAGAAAAATGGTTCAGTAAAAATAAATGCAAACTGATGAATGACCATGTGAGGCGTGAAAACATTCAGAGACCTGAAACGATAAATCAATAGTCTCACAGAACCTTGCAATTCAACTGCAACAATATCTTTTAGAACTTCATTTCCCTTGGAAATACATACAAACATACATTTAGAAGAAGAAAGTGCAAAAATGCATTGTTGAATTTAGGGTTTAAGCGATTGCACCCAAAATCCTGTAATTCCTCAAGAATGACATAAACCATAAACATCAAGTATGTATAGTGTGACAACTGTATATTTGATATCAGTAAGTAGGAGAATAATAAAACGGATCTCTAATCTCTCTGACAGTGTAAACCCTCAGGCTGAGATTTAAGTTTACCCATAACAGTGTGACCAACAATGTTTTTTAAAAGGCTGTGACTGTGACTGTCCGCTCTGGCCTACGGCTTCAGTCTAAAATGTATGATTGAGGTATTTCAGCACTGGCACTTACATAAATGCTCAAAAAAGAGTTCATGGGAAAAACACTATGGACTTCACTGGGAAGAGAGAATGAAAGAAAAAAAAAAGAAATACAAAGAAAGAGAGAGAGAAATTAAATGTAACCATGGAAATATAAAGCTACCAAACTTGAATGGATGGAACCGGATGAACCGAACCTAAAGACTTTTCTTCAGGTTTCTTCATTTAATGAAAATAAATAAACTGTTTAGATTTGAGGCGTAAAAATGCCATCTTTTCCCATTTTGAAAGTGCTAAATGGATGTCATAAAGACAAAGGGATCATCAGATTGGACATAAATCTAAAGTTTTGCTTCATTAAGCAATGTCATTATCACGTGGGTCTACAATTGCGATATGTTGTGCAATATGTTTATTTTGGTGAAGTATGTCTCCCTAAAAAGGAAAAACTTCACATGGATGTTGTAGGCAGCTCTGAAACAAGTTACAAAACCCTATTGACAGGTACGAAACCCTTGTTTCTTTTGATTGGCTTGATGAATGTATTGTGATAGTTTGAACTGGCTCTGTTACTGAGAATGATGATGATGGTATTATAAAGGTGTTCCCTGTGACTCTCAGAGCCGTGTTTGGGCCTCCGGTATATAGATCTCGATGCTGTCGGCCCGCTCTGATGCTGAGTTTTGGCGGAATGAAGCCGCGCGTTTGGCCGCCATTAGGCGTCGTCGGGCCTCCAGTCTCTGACGATCAGGGAGATCCAAAGATTTTTCCCTCGTCACACTCTTACGCAATGTCTTCTTTGGTACTGGCGGCGGGAGCTGGAACAACAACAAATAATATCCAAACACAAGGTATGAATGTACAAATAAATGTGTGTCAGGTAATATCTGCAGCAGACTAGAGATATACGTTTGATTTAATTCATAAACTATACAATACTGTTCAAAAGTTTGCACCAAGACTGCAAACTGAAATATTGTGGGTTTGTTTACCCTTTAAAACAACTGTTTTCTATTTTTTTACATTTAAAAATGTAATGTATTCCTATGATGGCAAAGCTAATTTTTCAGTAGCCATTACTGAAAACAGTTACACCCCTTGAAAAGAAAGAACATCATACTGCATTTAAACAACACCAGAGTGAGTAAATGGTAACTTAACTCTTAAAGTTAGATTTTTTTGGTAACATAATTAATGTAAATATAAAACAAATCTTATTGACTTCAAACTTTTGAACATATATGCTTATTGGTATATATGCCAATAAACATTTTTTTATCAGTACAATCAGAAGCATGAAATTAGGTTTGATGACCATCAAAAGTCTTTTAACCAATCAGCTCTCACCTTCTTCACAGGACTCTCAATAAGCCTCCAATTGTTGGACTTGATCTTCTGCAGCTCATTGAATTTGGAGGTAACATCATCGATGGAGAGCTGCAGCAGGTCCCAGAACCCGGCTAGGTCCTGAGAGGTGGGCCGAGGCATGGCACTGGGGTCCTGCAACAAAAAGTTGACATTGACATATTTGTTCAAATTCATGTTAAAAATAGCTAAAGTGAATGATACTCCACCCAAAAATGAAAATTCTGTCATCATTTACTCACCCTCAAGTTGTTGCAAACCTGTATGAGTTTCTTATTCTATTGAAGACAAAGGAAGATATTTTAAAGAACGATTGGAACCAAACAGCTGTTTGGCACCATTGACTTCCATTGTAGAAAAAATATATATATATATATATACTATGGAAGTCAATGATGCCAAAGTTCGAATCGTTCTTCAAAATATCTTCCTTTGTATTTAGCAAAAGAAAGAAACTCATACAGGTTTGAAACAACTTGAGGGTGAATAAATGATGACAGAATTTTCATTTTTGGGTGGGGTATCCCTTAAAATATAACAATAATAATAAACTGAAAAATACTTTTTCAAATAACAAAAGTTACCAAATACTTTTCCTTCCCCATTTACTGATGGAGTTTGGATGAGTGAACTGGATAATGACATATAAATGTATAAACAAAAGCATTTGGCAAATACATAAAGAAAGCAAATTTTGAAATGCTTTATTAAATACCATAACACATGGCATTTATCAAATCATGATGTATTTTATTTTTAAAATGAATTTTAAAAAATGTAACATGGTAATTTAATAATTTACATTTTTATTTAGAATTAAATGCATTGATAATATATTTCTTCATTTGAAATTTGTAACATGTTAGATCACTAGTTGCTTATTAGCATGTACTGTATATTACTTGTATATTTTCTGTTTATTACCATATTCTATATCCCTTAACCCTACCACATACCTAAACAACCACTACAACTACCTTACTTACTATCAATAATAAGTAGTAGGTTTATAGGTTTATTGAGGGAAAACTCCAAGTAAATAGTGAATATGTGTTCCCTTCTCTAAAGTGTTATCTGTTAAATGGCACAACTAATCCTCCACAGGTTGCACGGCTTTATAATGTGTACAGATTTCAGGGCAGAAAACTGTAAGAGCTTGAAGTCAAGCTGAAGTGTTACCATTTTTATTTGATGCAATGACTACATTTTTTTTATCATTTGCTGTTATATCATAAATCTGTATGTGGCCTAATCAACCACTGTGAGTGTATGCCACTGAATAGAGCATTTTATTCAGCAGGATTTAGGTTGTTTTCTAAAATATCGCTCTTCTTTATATCCCACAGTACTTCATTTATGTTCATTTATGTTCTCTGCACGCCTGGCTCAGATCAGCTGATTTGCTGCGGTGTGCATCATATCTTATAAATATGACAGCAGAACAAAAGGCAGTTAAGTACACCACAACTCCAGCTCAAGCACAGACGGCCTCCGTGGAAGTGCAGTGGTGCATTGTGGGAAGGGCTGCCATGAGTACAAAGCGCAGCACAATAACATAAATAGAACACAAACTCATGTTGGCATAGGTGCACTGATGTTACTTACTAGGTTCTGCTGGCAAAGCCAATAAAATTGCTGGAATTTCTGGGACATCAAGAGCTGTGCGCTTCCTACAGCACTTCGGATCTTCCCCAGGACTAATACACAAACAGGGAGAGAAGGATGAATATTTAATAATCATGAGAGCTATTGAAAATCTCACAAATCTACGCAGTTAATTAATCGAGTTCATAAAGTGTCTATACTGGCGAACACATGATCACGCATAGTTTCTGCTAGAAAGCAGAAAATGTGAAATCTGTAAGTATTCATGTAGGCAAAAAATACATGTACACAACTGCTCAAAAGGTAGGGGTTAGTAAGATTTGATAGATAATACTTTTAGATAATACTTTTATGAAAATAAAACTGACATTTAAGAAATGTATAGTGTTACATATTTCTATTTCAAATAAATGCTGTTCTTCAGAGTCCTACATTTAGTTTTATAAATATTTACATAAAAATATTAAGCAGCACAACTGAAATGTTTCTCGAGCACAACATCTGCATATTAGTGCTGTAATGATTAGTGCTGTTACTCAAAAATATTGAGTAATGATGCTGAAAATTCAGATTTTCCATCAAAGGAATAAATTACATTTTATACAACTATATTAAAATAATTTTATATTAAAAATGTTTTTAACATACCAAATAAGCCAATCTTGGTTGGCATAAGAGACGTAATTCAAAATCATTTAAGAACTGCATTGACTACATAGTAATAGTAGTAACTGAAACGGTATTCAAGTTTAAAGGGATACTCCACTTTTTTTGGAAATAGGCTTCTTTTACAACTCCCCCAGAGTTAAACAGTTGGGTTTTACCGTTTTCTACTCCATTCAGCCGATTTTCTGATATTTAGAAGAACATCAGTAACCAGACAGTTTCTGGTCCCATTGAGGGAGTTGTAAAAAATGAGCCTATTTCCAAAAAAAAAGTGGAGTATCCCTTTAAGTGCTGTAAGTACACAAGAAAGTTGTTGCTTATGGTGAAATTGTACTAAACACCCAATTAAATATGGATTTTAAACCAGTTTGTTGGCGTTAGCTGGTCTCGCAGCAGTCTTGGGTACATTTGAGATAGTCAGCCTGGGAGACCAGTAGGACGACCAGCCAAACACAAACTGGATTCTGGAAAGCCATGTTAAACCATCTGAAACCAGTGAACCAGCTTTTTCAGCAGGGTAAAAGTACAATGGGAACATGACAGATGCAGTGTGTAGTAATTGTGACTCTTTTTCAAATTCATTCATCTGAAAGTATGTGAATACTCTCATAAACTCCACAACACAAGTGATTCACACTTTCACACTCATACTCCAATGCATTCTTACACTCTGATTTCTGTGCATTGTCTCTCTCAGTCTGTTGTTCAGAGCCTCAGTGCAGCTCTGAGCTCTTTGCCATGGAAACCTGACAGATGTTGACAGAAGTAATTGCTCACATGGCAGCACTCTCAGTGTGATTCTCTAATAACCTGGAGCTCTGCAAACGTTTCATTGTTAAATGTGACACTTCTTTGGATTCATACCTGACACTTTGAAACCTGGAGCCAAACTCCACAAAACAAAAATTATAATATAAAGATTTAACGGCTCATGAAATCGGAGCTCTTTTAACTCACTTTCCTCTGACATGTCGTTCTCTTCCGCCTCTCCCTCCAGCTCTTTGCACCACCCCTCCATCTTTTTCGTCTCCGTGTGCAGCAGCTGCATGAACCAGCTTCCGTCCCTCCTGCATGAGGGGATGCTCTTCCCGAATCCGAAGGTTGGGGCGGCGTCACTGTAACCGCCACAGTGGCGACAGGTTCCCGTGGCGAGGGCTCCAGCCAAGGCTCGGGGCTACGCTGGGGACTCGGAGGCTCCGTGGGGGTGCGGTAGTCCTCACGGTAGCTGAAGAGACCCTGGGTGCGGACAGTCCGTACGGCGCCGTACTGCGTTGGGGTGCTGGGCTCGCTGTGACGCTGGAAACCCCCGCCAAACTGAAGACCTTTATCCTCCATTAAAGGAAAACCCTCCAACTCCAGATCAGCCTGAACGGCGGCGGTGACACTGTTGGACCGCTTAAATCGGCCCTGTCTGTATAAGAGAGAAAGATCTCAAAACACTCAGCGACAAGAACATTTCACACTCAGCTAGTACTTCAGCGAATCGAACCTCACAAACCTTTCACACACAGAGATAAAACAGATGTGCTCTGTATTTACCGTCTCTCGTCTTCCACTTGAATCCCAACAGACTGATACTCTCGAGAGCCTTTGCTTTCACACTCAGAATCAGTCGCTGCTTCCACCTACAATGATAAAACAGACCTTTAACTGATGATTATTGACCATGTTCATACTTATAATCCTTCATAACAAATTATTTGATTATCATTATTGTGATATGTTGCATCATAACGTTTTTGTTTGTTAACTCCTCAAACTATTATTTCAAATTTTTAATTCTGTATTTTCAATTTAGTGTCAGACATTTGCATCCCATTGTATATGGACATGAATGGGATAGCCACTGATCCTAAAATTGTTAAGTCAGGAACCAGTGCAACCTGCTCATGCTAAAAAATAACAGCTCAGTGTGATATACCAGGCTGAGTCTATAACAACTTAGAGATAAAAACTGCACACCCACATAGTTTCAAGTCCAAAAGTAACTCAATAAATAATGCATAATGTGCTATCCAAACATTTCAAAAAGAGTTGGAAAGGCTCATTTTTAAATTGTATTCATTATGTAATCTGGCATACTAAATAAGAAGGTTTTAAACATTGATTTAGTGAAAAAATATCTTTCAAGCACAAAGAAAATGCCCCATGCCCAGTCAAGAGTCACTAAGGAAGGTGATGGAAACTCAAGCGAGAAGGTAATAAACTATGAGAAATGCATTCAACTCTCGAAAAACTTAGAAAAAAAGTGACTGTTTTGGAGTGAGAGTTGTTTAGTCAAGTGAACCGTAACTCCAAACAACTGCAGCACAGACAAAATATTTTAAATAATTGTGTCTGTGTGTGTACATAGGCAATATAGTACACTGTATATGTATATCTAAGAGACTAAAGACTCTTAAATTGAAACAAAAATAATGTGTATTTCAAATAAATGCTGTTCTTTACAACTTTATATTCATAAAATAATATGACTGTATCATGTTTTTCACAAAAATATTAAGCAGCACAACTGTGTACGACACTGATAATAAGAGACGTTTCTTGAGCACTAAATCAGCATATTAGAATGATTTCTGAAGGATCATGTGACACTAAAGCCTTGAAAGAGGCTGATCAAATGCAGCCTTTGGTGAGCAGAAGAAACACTCTTACCAACCCCAAACATTTTAGAAGTGGAATGTATTATTGATTTTATTTTAAATAATTAAGCAGTTATGATCTGTAGGCAGTTATAATACATTCCTGAGATGGTAAATATGTTTAATAAGCTAAAAAGACATTCTGTAATAACGAACTGAAGGTCAATCTTTCAGGTATATCTAAAAAAAGATGTCTGTTGCTTAGAAGTGTATGTCACAACTCAGAACATCAGACCATCTGAAGAAAGTGTGACTCACACACGCATTGGAGAAGGACAGGAACGAAGGGAAGGGTGACCTCACAATCAGAGAACAAGATGATTCACATCACAGATCAGACAAATCAGCTGTCCCTGATCTAACGGTCTGACCACTGAGCTTGTCAAAAATCAGGAAGGCTGAGCACAGGAATTCTGTTTGAGTGAGACAGACTGTCAGGCATGAAAAAACGAGGGCCAGGGTATGAGGTTTTTTCAGACACAATTCACTCCATAGGGATTACGGCTTGGTGAGCAGTGCTTCCCTCCACTGTTTGATAATGTGTGAGGTAGAGCACACTGCGCTCTCGGTTGCTTCATAGATACAAAGCTGTATCTTGGACTCAAGCAGTCTGGAGTGTCACTTCATTCATTGTGTCAAATTTTAATAAATCTCAAAACTGGTGTGGTGAAGGTGCAAAGGGTTGACAGTAACCAGGGACTGTCAGTGGCAAACTAAAAAAAAAATCACCATAAAAGCAGTTCATATTACTCAAGCATATTCAAAGTCTTACTCACCCTCATGTTGTTCCAAACCCATAAGGCTTTCGTTAATCTTCGGAACACAAATTAAGATATTTTTGATTAAATCTGAGAGCTGTCTCACTCCTCCATAGGCTTCTATTGTAATTGAAACTTGCCGACCCAGAAAGTAAATAAAAACATTGCTAAAATAGTCTAAGTGACTACACTGGCTCAACAATAAGTTTATCAAGCGACGAGAATATTTTTTTGTGCCCAAAAAAAAAAAAAAAAAAAATGACTTTATCCAACTATTCGTTTTCTTCCACATGAACTCACCCTGGGCCTCAGAGTGAGTTCACGTAGTGTAACAGCGCAGCGCTACGTCGGACGTAGCGTACTTTAGTGTGTTATTTATAAATTCTACACCAGTCTATCACGTGTCATTCAACTAAACAGGTAGTCATACCCCAAAATCACACCATTGGTTAAACAAATTTTACTAAGTCAAGTCAAAAGTGCCACAGAGACACTATGTTTACAGTCTTCGCAGAAATCAACCGATAAATGCTTACTTAGATTTGTCTCCATACATTAAGTTAGAATGTCAAATTACACACATCACATTCTCACTAGTTATTAAAGGATATTGACCAGTGTACTCCCAATATAACCAGGATTCAAGTTTAAAGCTTGGCAAGTGCTATATTTAATTAAAGATTGGTTTTGGATAAAAAAATTGAAAAATAAACCACATGCTGGTAACTTTATTAGAAAATTAAATCCAGACGTATTAAATCAACTCAAATCAAAGACATGTAAACTAAATGCAATCAGCTAATCAACCAATCACATGGCAGTTGCTTCAATGCATTTAGAGGTGTGGTCCTGATCAAGGCAACGATCATCGCAACATACGACACGCGGGAAACACTTAACATAACGGATAAATGCCTGACGTAAATCAAGCAAGCTAGTGTTGGCGGAATAGACTTTCATCCAAAAGGAGGGAATAATATGGAATTTTTTTCTTGCACAAAATAAATTCATGCAATTTCAAGGACCTGTATCTATGCGTGTTTACTTGCCAAAATGTTCCAGGGCCTTGATTTTTTCAGATTCACAAACTTTCAAGGATTTCAAGGACCCGTTGGAACCCTGCCAACTTTGACTAAAATAACCACTCGTTACAACCGAGGTATGCATCAAAGCATTTGTGAAGCCACAACACTCACAACCTTGAGGCGGATGGGCTACAACAGCAGAAGACCCCACCGGGTACCACTCATCTCCACTATGAATAGGAAAAATTTATGCCTGGTCTGAGGAGTCTCGATTTCTGTTGAGACATTCAGATGGTAGAGTCAGAATTTGGGATAAACAGAATGAGAACATGGATCCATCATGCCTTGTTACCACTGTGCAGGCTGGTGGTGGTGGTGTAATGGTGTGGAGGATGTTTTCTTGGCACACTTTAAGTTCCTTAGTGCCAATTGGGCATCGTTTAAATGCCACGGCCTACCTGAGCATTGTTTCTGACCATGTCCATCCCTTTATGGCCACCAAGTATCCATCCTCTGATGGCTACTTCCAGCAGGATAATGCACCATGTCACAAAGCTCGAATCATTTCAAATTGGTTTCTTGAACAATAAGTCCACTGTACTAAAATGGCCCCCACAGTCACCAGATCTCAACCCAATAGAACATCTTTGGGATGTGGTGGAACGGGAGCTTTGTGCCCTGTGTGGATCCCACAAATCTCCATCAACTGCAAGATGCTATTCTTTTCAATGGGCCAACATTTCTAAAGAATGCTTTCAGCACCTTGTTGAATCAATGCCACATAGAATTACGGCAGTTCTGATGGCGAAAGGGGGTCAAACACAGCATTAGTATGGTGTTACTAATAATCCGTCAGGTGATTGTACGTTAAGTCCACAAGATTGTAGGGTGTCCCATTTGTAATTTTAGGTTTCAGAAGGGTGCTTTCGAGCAAACCCTTTGCCAATATGCACCTTTGATAAACACTTTCCAGAGCCTGCGAGCCCCGCAGACTTCGAAAGTGTGGACTAGAAGAAAGATTGCGAGGGCTTAGTGTTCCATTTGGGACAGGGCTATTGAACAACACAGATTGGCTCATCTTGTGCAGTGAGTGACAGAGACTTGTGGTAATAATTACAGTCTGGCGGCCAAACATATTTTTTAATAAAAATAATAATGCTAAATTCTGTTTCATGCTTGGTAATAAATATTTATGGACTTAATTCACACCCATTGGCAGTTAATTGTGCTCCCTCTACGCATAACCTCTAGAGGGCAGTGTAGACAATGAATGGAGAACAGATGCACCAAAGGGCTGAGAGAGGCAAACCAATTTAACATTATTAGGACATGATCTCAACACAGATATTCACAAGGCAAAGACAGATAACTGCTGGCAAGAGACATCAAGAGAGAAGGGAGGGAGGAAGAAAGAGATAGAGATGGGGAAATAGGGAGATAAAGGGAAGAAGAGAGAGGGAGAGCCCATTCAGTGAAGCCTGAGTTGAATGTTAATTAATGGATTGCAGTATGATGACTCACAGAAAGCTATTTTTAGCATGACAACACAGACTGGAGGTGTATGGGTTTGTATACACTTTAGTGTTTGGATTTTAAAATAACCTACATTGCTTTGGTTAGGTAAGATTCAGTTTGCATGAGTGCCTGTGGGTTACATTTATCATTAGTCAGCACATTCAAGAATATTTTCCTCACAACAGACAGGCGGGCGGGAGCTCAAAACAACATAGAAGTGGTAAGAAAAGGCAGCTTTCTATTTAGACCAGTTAAAGCTGAAGTCACTGAGAAGAAAAGTGCAAAAACTGCAAAAAAGGAACAAACAAAAAACAATGACTGTTTGCAAACAGGTTTTTCAAACACCATCCATTTCCCACTGGTCAACAAAATGGGGAGCCCTGCCCCCAAAACTCATGCTATTGGTTAAGCCAATATTGCTTTAGTCGGGCTGAGAGAAATGTTTCAAGAACCCCTATAGACTTTTACGAAATTAAACTATGAATGGCTTACCTGTGGTTGTCTGAATATAATGTATATAATATATAAACACTGTATGTATGTATGTATATATATATATATATATATATGGTGGGGCCAAAAAGTATTTAGTCAGCCATAAAGTGCAAGTTCTCCTACTTAGAATGATTAGAGATGTCTGTAATTTTCTTTTCACTTTAACTATGAGAGACAAAATAAAATAAAAAATCCAAGAAATCAAATTGTAGGATTTCTAAATAATTTCTTTGTAAATTATGGTGGAAAATAAGTATTTGGTCAATAACAAAAGTTCAACTCAATACTTTGTAACAGAACCTTTGTTGGCAATGACAGAGGTCAAACGTTTCCTGTAAGTCTTCACCAGGTTTGCACACACTGTAGCTGGTATTTTGGCCCATTCCTCCATGCAGAACTCCTCTAGAGCAGTGATGTTTCGGGGCTGTCACTGGATAACACGGACTTTTAACTCCCTCCACAAATTTTCTATGGGGTTGAGGTCTGGAGACTGGCTAGGCCACTCCAGGACCTTGAAATGCTTTTTACGGAGCCACTCCTTCATTGCCTGGGCGGTGTGTTTGGGATCATTGTCATGCTGGAAGATCCAGCAACATTTCATCTTCAATGCTCTCACTGATGGAAGGAGGTTTGGGCTTAAAATCTCACAATACATAGCCCCGTTCATTCTTCCCTCAACACGGATCAGTTTTCCTGTCCCCTTTGCAGAAAAACAGCCCCAAAGCATGATGTTTCCACCCCCATACTTTACAGTAGGTATGGTGTTCTTGGGATGCAACTCTGCATTCTTCTTCCTCCAAACACGAGTTGAGTTTTTACCAAAAAGTTCTATTTTGGTTTTATCTGACCACATGATATTCTCACAATCCTCTTCTGGATCATCCAAATGCTCTCTGGCAAACTTCAGATGGGCCTGGACATGTACTGGCTTAAGCAGGGGGACATGCCTGGCACTGCAGGATTTGAGTCCCTCTCGGTGTAGTGTGTTTCTTATGGTAGCCTTTGTTACTTTGGTCCCAGCTCTGGGATTTTTGCTCACCGTTCTCATGATCATTTTGACCCAACGAGATGAGATTTTTGCGCACCAAGCTGCTTGCCTATTGTAGATTCACTCTTCCCAGCCTGGTGCAGGTCTACAATTTTCTGCAGAAATTTGAAACTGATTGCAGTACCAGTTTTGGCCACAATCTTACATACAGCTCCTTTAAAGAAGAAGTTACAGGTCTGTGAGAGCCAGAAATATTGCTGGTTTGTGGGTGACCAAATACTTCTTTTCCACCATAATTTACAAATAAATTCTTAAAAAATCCTACAATGTGATTTCCTGGATTTTTTTCTCATTTTGTCTCTCATAGTTGAAGTGTACCTATGATGAAAATTACAGACCTCTCTCATTATTCTTAGTAGAACTTGCACAATCAGTGGCTGACTAAATACTTTTTGGCCCCACTGTATATATATATATATATTGTACATATATATTTGCCCCATTATAATCATTGATGTTGTTGTCTACACTGGATGCGACGCAGAGCGACAAATCTCTGACAGTAAATTGATGCCTCATTCTATTTATGACGTACTCCAAGCACTCGTAATACTTCTCATAGGAAGGACAAATGGATTTGAAACAGTCGCTTTGTTGTGTCCAGTGTAGACACAATTGTACTTTCTTCTGTAGAACACAAAAGAAGATATTTTGAAAATGTCTTTTTATTTTTTGTCTATACAATTAAAGTCAATGGAATTCAGTGCTGTTTAGGACTCAGACGATCAGTGTACTGACAAAAAAACAGGTGAAACATTCTTTAAAATAATTTATTTTGTGTCCCACAGAAAAAAAAACATCATACAGATTTGGAATGAATAAAGGAGGACAGAATTTAAATTTCTGGAAGAACTATTATTTTAAGTGGTGATGCAGGATCTTCACACTTCACCTGTATTCCTATTGAAGACCTTGGTGTTTTTAGGTATTCTTCCGCCCTGGACACCAGCACAGCTTTATCACAGGTCATTACTGAGCTGTGGCTGTCTGTGGAAGGGTGTCTCTTTCCTGCCATCGCCATGGCAGCCGCTTCCATGGCAATAGTGACGGCCTTGGCGCTGTCCAGACTGTCAGTGGAGTTATAAAGGGCTCGACCCAAACTCAGACTCAACCCATCAGAACCCCAGAGGCCTGTGGGATGAGCATAAAGAGAATATGGTGTTATTTTGAGGACATATAAAGAGACAGTGAGGCTGTGAATGATGCAATGTTCAGAATTGAAGGAAAATTCCTTAAAAATTAAAGAAATGTATATGTGAAAAAAAATTCTACTTGCAGTGTACTTACAGTGTACTTACCTAGAAAGTACTGGCTAATATAAGGTAAGTACATGGAACAGGGGTAGGTTTAGGCGTAGGTTCAGGGTTAGTACTAGTTATTACCAAGTAATTGTAGTTACTAAAATAAGTACATTACATAATGTAGGTAACTGGACTGTAAAAGGAAGCGTTACCCATGATTTTAGTATGAAGGAATTAATCGCTTACTAGCCTTTACATTCAATTTTACAATTTCTTACCTGGACAACATAAAGGCTAAAAACTTAAAATGATAACAACATACAGCTAAAATTTTAATGCAAGTGCTTTTTATTAAATTATAAAGCTTCACAGTTTCCCGAAATGAGCTTTTTTTGCTTTATGTATTACAAATGCCTCACTATAACCAACTATAGCCATGTTTTTTTTTTTTAATTTTAAAGGAAGGGGTGAGTGGAATTGTTTTGTGTGGTGATCAACATAACACCACAGATGCTATCTATTGCATTTCTATCATGGGAACTCTCAGATATGGATTTGGTAATGGATATGGTAATGTTAATGTATTTGGTCTTGGCGATATAGATCTGCCACGCTGCTGCTGCAGAGCAAGTACTGAGACTTGCTACTGCCAATACTTTCACAGACATGCTGCTGTGTAAGCATGTAAGACATGCAGTAGCCGCACATGTAACATACATGAAATAACCACCGCAGCAGATCTATACAGGTGGAGCTGGGGAAGGTGGAGGATTTCTGAAAGCACGCTGCCGACTTTTAACAGCAAACACTACCAGTATTTTTAATGTTGAGCCGCAGCTCATTGGCCGCTGATGCAACAGCAACCAATCAGCTGCGCTATGTAGATAACGATGTGATCCCTACTAAATTATTTAAGGACCTATCAGCCTGCACCATCTAGAATTTCATGCCAGGTTGGTATTAAATCTGGACGTTCCCTCATTGATTGCATAGTCAGAAGTATGATAAATGCATGTATAATTTAGTTGTTATAATTACAGTGTTGTTATTGTAAACTAAAACTCAAACTATTAAAGGGCCCTATTTTAATGATCTGAAACTCAAGTATCAAGTATCAAGTATCAAGCGCAAAGCCCAAGAAACTATGTGGCCGGGTCTTGGGCGTTGTTGCTATTTTACCCAGGATAAACGCAAGTTTAACAGGGGTTGGTCTGAATAGCTTCATTGTTCATAGGTGTGGTTTGGGTGAAACGTGAAATAAACCAATCAGAGCATCATCCAACATACCCTTTAAGAGCAGGTGTGCATGTTGCATTGCAGATTGTTATTATTATGGCGAATTTACCAGGCTCACAGCCGAAGAGACCGACGTACTTGTCAGGACAGTGAAAGACAGAGAAGTGACATTGTATGGGGATGGGAGATTTTTTTTTCCTGTTGTTCTTAACGGACAAACTAATTCGTCAGATGTCCTTATATAGCCTACATGTGTGTCTTGGCACTATTGGGAAAACAGGTCTGATCGGTCATTACAACAATTAGCCTGAAAAATTTGGGTAAATGTGTAATCTAGATTTAGGCCAACATTTTAGTAAGATTTGTAAGATTTTTATTAAATAAATAGAAAAAATATAAAACCACACAACAAAATTCCTAAAAATTAAAATGAAAGCTGATAATAAAAAAAAAAAAAAGCTAATAAATAATACTACAATAGCACTGTCCACCTCTGGCCAGCTGTCCCTCGTGGTAGGCATCCTGCGTGGACTCTGTGCTGCTCTGCGCTGTGATGGAGATGAGGGGTTTCGAGGTGGAACGAGGGGGCACGGGTGGAGGGGTCCTCTTATAGGTGGGTGTACTGGGTGTGTAGGTGACCTCTGTTAGAGGGAGAGGTTTAAAGTCAAATATCTCAACATGATGGTACAAAATATTCAAGATTGGAGGTAGACCAAATGTAAACCTTTAAGAAATGGCCAACACCATATTACTCTGCAACTATTCTGAGTATTGAACCTATTGTAGTACAAAACCTTTAGCGCTGATAAGAAAATGTGTCATAAATGAGCTGACTTAATTATAGCAGGTTATATATACATAACTATAACAAAAACTCCCTCTTCATCAATAAATGAGAAAAACAGTGAGAAATGGCACTCTGATTACTCTTGTGAACAGACTGTGAACCCAGCCATGCGTTCTGATGTGCAAAAGGTTATCCACAAATCTTTTTCTGCTCTAATCCACACAGATGGACCGGGCAGATAAATGGATCTTTGATTTGGATGTGTCCTCTAATTGAGTTTAGTGTTTCTAAACTCAGGAGAGAATCAAATATGAAAGTTTGGGGTCAGTATGTTTTTGTTTTCCTTTTTTTTTTTGAAAAAAAAGAAATGAGAAGTCATTCAATGATTCAAAAGTGACAGAAAAGACATTTAAAATGTATTCATCAAAGAATCCTAAACAAAATGTATGAAACCCTGCTAAACCACCTCTCATCAAATCAGCCAGCTTTAAAAATTCACAGAAAGGTCACGTGAACAACTGAATCAGAAAGACTGCTTGAATTAAAAAGAGAGATAAGGAGAAATTAAAAGAGAAAGATTGACATAACAAAGAGAGAGAGAGAGAGAGAGAGAGAGAGAGAGAGAGAGAGAGAGAGAGAGAGAGAGAGAGAGAGTTTGAAGGGCCGAGAATGAATGAGAAAGGAAGAGATGGAGTGAGTGGAGTGATTCAGCACTGGTACAAAAATAGATGTTACAGCCAAACAAATAACGCAACAGGGACTCATAACTCTCTCTGTGCTGCCTGTTTTATCAAATGAGCTAAGAGTGATGACACCGTGCTTTCATTATTAGGAAGAGAGAGGAAAGGGGGAAATGAGAGAGAACGAGTTTGGGAGAGTGCTTCACACTGACTAAAATATAATTACAAGGTTGCAAAAGAACAAAAGTTAGTGACCCTTATCTTGGTTTTAAGTTCGATGCACTCAAAAGATAGATAGCTGCAAATGGTGAAATTTGGGCAAGGGAGACCTGACCAATCACAATTCAGTATCCAAAAAGATGTGAAGAAATTAAACCAATCACAATTCTGTATGCAAATGCCGCAGTGACATCACTGTCAGTTAGAATAGGTACAGTTTGACAGTTAGAATCATGTGTTTTATAATTGCAGCGTGATTCTAGGTGATAAACTATATTACCCATGATTCTGTAAGAAAATCGACCAGAAATTTTCTACCAATCGGAGAACTGAGACAAACAAATCATGGCAAAATAATTTTTCATGGAAGTGTGTGGGAACAATCCCAAGTAATATCTTGACTAATTATTTTGGCACCATGAATGGCATAGTCTATCTATCTAAACCACTAAAATATTTGTATAAATATTTACGGTTTCTATACATAATCAACATCTTTATATCAAATGTTTTTATGGTTTTTACTTTGATTATATAATTCATAATACTTCATGGGATTATAAGTCTTTCACTCATTAAAGATGTTTTTATTTAATTTTTGCATTACGTTTGTAATGCTGTGATGACATACAGTATTTAATTATTTTGATGCAGGTACTTGAACATGAACCCGAGTTGAAGGATGAATATGCTGATTTCAAGCTATATCGTAAAGATGAGTGGAGTCTGTACCTGGTGGCTGTTGGGAAGGACGGTCCACACTGCCTGAAGAAGGGAGATGGAACTGAATTCCTATAAGCAAACATACACATAAACCTTTTGAAGCCAGACCACACTCACACACAGACATAAAACACAAAAATACATACAAAATTTTGAGCTCAGTACACATTCATCAAAACTGAATTTTGCATCCTGGGATTTGTAGTTTACAGCTGGAAAATAAAAATGAATAACAAAACACATGATGAAAAGTGATCATCTTTTGAATAATAATAATAACAAAATCTTCCACTGTGTATTTAGGAGACCACATACTGTACATCAGACTCAAAACCATTAAAAAATAAAATCAAAATAATCACTTCAACCTAAACATCTATGTTTTAGTCAGAAAGCTAACAATAGAAATTAAATCATAATGTTGAAACTAAATGCTGCAACCTCATGAAAACTACATGAGTTCAGTGGTGCTTCCAGAACCTTCTGATCACTTTTGTGTAATGTCACACTGAATTGCAATGACATTTATAGTGTTACTGCTTGTGGTAATTTGATCAGCTATAAACTTGCCTACCTGTAGGGCCTTCTTTAGGAAATTAATATTATTATTACATCAGATCAAGTAGTATAAGGCTAACAAACAAAAGAATGCGTACATGAGAACTGAGAAGAGAGAGGTACTGTAGCTTACAACAAAGTGTTAAAAAAAACCTGGTTCCAAGTCCACTATACGCAACGGCCTAAAACAGTTCATGTTCTGATGTAAAAGTTCTTGTTTTATTATTTAATTAAATGAATAACATTCACTTAGTTACAGATTATCATGATGGCAGACATTTAAGTTGATCTCAGAAAAACCAACAATCAACAATCAGAGGTGAAGATACAGAGAGATAAAGAGGCTTGTTTTCACATGGTTTTTCTGGCTTCAAGATCTCTGTGGTTAATATTCGAAACCTTAAAGTCCAGATGGTTTCATTCTGAAATTTTGAAGCCATTAAGAAAGAGAAAAAAAAAATCACAGTGGCACAACAATATTGAGGCTGGGTGGTTAAAAGCCCACATTCATGAGCCAGACAAGGCACACAATGTACAAGCAGCCAATGAAATGTGCAGTACAGGGAACCCCCCCTCCCCCCAAAGAAACACTGCTTTTACTACACTTAAATAACCCATAAGGCTCTGCCAGGTATTTTCAACCCACTGAAAAGACTTGCAATGACTTAATATAGTGGGGATGGGACCAATGAGCATCTTAATGTGTTTATTCGTTTTGCTACAGTCATTTTGTCCTGCACTTTAAGCACCTGTGGGTCTGTTCTAGATATGTATGTAAAACCCACTTTTATTACTTAAGAAATAGCTCTCCAGCACAGCAGAGGGCAATGTGTGGACAATGCTAAAAATAAGGCCTGAGAGCTTCGGTATGAATAAAGGAAGACCGGTTAACAATGGTTAAATCCCAATACGCATGCTAATTGTACGATATGAGATAAAGATTAGTGATTATCACAAAATTGCACTATAGTGAATGTTCAAAATGATGCATCTGTCTGTGCTTTGTAACTTAATATTTCCCACAACCTCTTGCGCTACACAAGGATATTGTGGTCGCCGTTTGTAATGACTCTTTGATGCTGTATTAAGACCATTTGATGACTATATTGTATACTGTACATAGTAGTGGTATGCAAACTGGGAATTAGCCAAGATTTCCATTCTAACATTGAATATTTACAGTTTAAAGATATGTTGCCAGATTCAATTTTTAGGGAAACACATTTAAAGTCGTTATAAGCTTTTAAAACCACCCAATATTTGCACTGTTTTCAAAACTCACTATAAATGTCTGTCATTTGGCTGGCTGACTAACAAAAAAGCAGAGCCCTGAAAGTCCAGGTTTTAAATAAATAAATAAACAAGCAAATAAATAAATCTAAACATAATTAGATGAATTAGCTACAACCACTTGATTAAAAAATACTTTCACTACTACTAATAATGTAAAACTGCTATCTCAACTATTAACTACTTCAAGAACTACTTCAGTTTTCAGACTGAAGTAGTTAGATGTAAAGACTAATTAGATGTAAACTGTTGCTAATAATCAGAATGCTAATAATTTATCACTGTATCCGGTTACACAATTTCCTCTGATTGTCAGATACAAGGTCATTGCATTACATTTGTCAATACAAACCAAATCTTAATTGTTAGAGATTGCCAGAGTATTTTCTTTAGTACCCTGATATTCCCTTGCATACATGTACATAATATTCTTAATAATACAAACACACTGCTGATTTGACATTAATAGCTTCAGTCACCATATTGGCACAAATAAACTGGCCTCTTATCTTAAAGATGGGGAGCTCTCATAGCAGCTAATTGGAGCTGCGTATGTAATGTTATTCATATTTGCAGGAAAGATCACTGGATACAATAGGCTGTACATTTAAAATAATACACGGAATCACTGGGGAATATATTATATGTGGAAATAATATGGATGCACAGTATTTTGTATCTCAATTATAATAATATGTGTGGATTTGCAAGATTAGCATCGATTTGTACAAGTATGCCAGTCTCCTCAAAAAGTGTGTTTATACCACAGGTCTTCATTCCTTACCCATTTGCAATTTTGTGGTTTTCCCTTTTAAAAATAAACTTTAAAACAAATTCACATGCTCAGTGTATGTTCATGTAATCCCAGCAGATTAACAGAGCTTCAAACATCAGTAACCACATTCATTCCTTAAATGTAATTAATCTTAAGTAATATCCATTTAATATTAATATCTGATATATTTCCACATATGAATATGCCCAGAAAGAGAATCCAAAAATGTCACATTCAACATGTCCTATTTCCCACCAGATCTCAGTAAGGTTTGAGAAAAAAAAAAAAGAGAAAAGAAACAGCAGTCACTTCACAGATTTCTGTAACATAGACGTTGTCTCTTTGAAAATTTCACAGTACTAATCTGTCCTCCACTTTAACAGTGAGACTTTGGCTCTGAAGACATTGAGTAAAATGGAATAAAGTAAGCCTTCATTCATACCAGAGAAACAACCACTACATTACATTCAGAGAAAAAAATATGAATAAAATGTATCCAAGCGATATGCAGTTGTATCAGGTCTTTGGTCGACATCCACTTCATACTCTGTTTTTTTCCATCTGAGAAAGTATTCTTCCTACCCCCCATCCTCTCAGAGCATGACCAAGGACCAAATTTCTGGTTTAACCGGGACCATTTCAAACAGAGATTTATTTTTTTACAGTTTACTCTGTATTTCTAAAGTTCATTGGAGAGAGTGTCTTGACTGGAAGTCTTCGTTCTCTGCCAAAAAACAATCACAGTATTTACTAAAATACTTCAGTCTCTCTCTGTAAAGCCAGAGAGTGTCCCTGGAGAGGAGTGAAGTTTGTGGTGACTCACCAGTTTTGCAGTGTAAATAGGTGCTGAATATCTGGAGTACTTTAATGCAGTCCCATTGCTGTCATCAGACATCTTTTAGCTACAATCCCTCTCATGACTTCATCCATGCCTTACAATGTCTTATCCCTTCTACTTTCCCCCTTTAACACTCTCTACTTCGCATTCTCTCTTATATAATCACACGCACATTGGGGAGACAGACCTGTAAACATCTTGCTACATAACCTAACAGTCTTACAATCTGTCTATAAATATTATATATGATTTTCTATTGCACACCCCATGTAGCTTCATGCACTTTTTGGTGAGCTCAGAGTGACAGTGACATATAAGACATCACTGAATTGTTTGAGTATTTCTTGTGGTAAATTTCCATACTGGCACTCCGTGACATTGGCTGCCGTCCACGTGCTTTCCGCTGCCATCGAATCCACAGGAAATCCCTATCGGATAGTGAATGAGAAGGGCTGCTTATGGCTGCTGTTCCCTTTGGTGACCCATTATCGTTTGTTTCCGTCTTAGATGCGTCTAAAGCTGACTGGATCTCCAAAAGGGATAAATTGAAGGGGTGCACAGTCGCTGGGTCTATGGTAGCATATCCAGGTGGATTCAGCTCCTGTGACGTCGGTTCATCCATGCTAGTGACTTCAGGATCAAACGTGTCTGACTCAACTGAGCACAGAACGGCAGAGTAGAGAGTCTCAGACTCCAGGTGAGCTGATTCCACAGTGTCTGGGAAATGTATCATTGGGTAAGGAGAATCTACATTCTGGCCATCTTCTTCTTCAGAGTAGGACTCTGGGACGTTAATGGCACTACCTTCTTCAGCAAAGACCATGAATGTTTCCTTTTTGGACCACAAAACAAGAGCCTGAGTGTCTGGTTCATGTGCGGCTGGCTTTTGACAAGAAGAAAAATTAGGTTCAGGACTTGCTGGGTTTGATATGTCAGACTCTGTTCGGGATTCGGGCTCTGGGGTGGCAGGTTGGAGATAAATGGTGTCCAGTAGTTCTGGAAAGGGTGGTTCTTGTTCTGTAGACTCACAGGAATATTCATACACAGTTTCTGGGGTTGGAGGATTTGGTAAAGCCAGATCTACAGGACCTGGGCTTTGAGAACCAGAAACATTGAGCTCCAGAGATTCTAAACTTGGCCATTTTAAGTCATGCAGATTCATAGAATCTGGGGTCATTGGACTCAGGACAACAGAGTCCAATTCTAGTGATGTGAAGTCCATACTTTCTTCGTCTGTATGACTCAACAACACTGGTTGCATGGATTCTAGAACTGACTGTTCCTGTGTTGATGTGCTACCAAGGTCCATTGTATATGGGCCAGGTTGTTCCGGAGATTGTAGAGAGGGCCGGTCAAGAGAAGATTCTTGGGGTGGAGAGCCAGTATCATCCGGATCCAGTTTAGGCCACTGCAAATTGGCCAGGTTCACTAGTTCTACATTTGTGAAGTCTAAAACAATGGATTCCACATGCTCAGGAGTTGACGACTTCGTAAAGCAATATGGTTCTACCTCTGGCACTGGTTCTGGGGGATCTGGAGGAGTCATTGAGTCCGAATCTAGATCAGGCCAAGAAAGGGACGCCACATCAATTGGATCGGGAGGGGTAAGATTAGCAAAAGTTGGATCATCAAACTCTGCAAATTCAAAGTTGGGGTCAGTTTGAAAAAATGGTGAAGAGGCCGAGATGTGCAGGACATTTTTATCTGCAGGTTCTGATGGAGACATGGAAAACACATTGGGATCAACTGGTGAGGGGCAGTTAACCGCTGCGTCTGCTGTGTTCTGTCGCACCAGCGTCTTGCTTCCTGCCTGGGTGCTGACAGACACCTGAGGAGCAGCTGTCTGGGTTTCCCGTACCCAGCTCGGTGACCAGGTGCTGTAATGTTTCGTAAAGGTGGAAAAGTTCACGTTAAAGGCTCTGAGCTCTGTGCACAGATCCTTTCTGAGATCGGCTAACTCCTTACGCATGGCTGACACGTCATCCCTCCACTGCTGGCTGATGGCCAGGGCTAGATCTGCTGTCTCCTGGACACTTGACTGAACAGGGCGCGGCCTGAGTGGCGCGCTCGTTTTCAGTGGGGGTAACGAGGGAGACGTGGTGGGTGAGCTATTACCATAACGGGTGCTGGATTCATCTCCTCTCCCGCGGAGGCCCGTGTCCCCACAGGCCATGGAGGTTAAGTCTGGCCCCTCGCTGAGTAAATTGTCCTCATTAAGCAAACCCGTGCCCTCCAGCACATCATTTCCCTCTGGAAGAAAAATATAAAAATGCCAGTGTATATAATGTGCCCAGTGGTGAGATCAGCTGGGGAATTGTGCTGTTTGCAGGCTCCATTTAGAGTTCAACCAAACATGTGTGAGCCAAAATCAGTTACAGGCCAGATCAGGGTTAAATCTTTTTTGTGTGAATGACGTTATCACGCAGGTCAGATAAAAATGTTAACAGTCGTTTGCAGGGATATGGGAATTAATTATTTCTTAGAAAAAGAGAAGTATGTACACACTTTAAACGGAAGGGCTTTGTAAAATTGTACAAATTGCTTTGAGGTTTGCTCAGTATGCAACAAACGCAATCTCAACTCCCTGATTTTAGGTGGCGGGAGCAAGTTATTGTGAGTTATTGTCATCATGCTAGCAAACAGATCCCATTTTGACTCACAGCTCTGTTATTACTCTGCCTTCTCACTCCATACTTTATTTGCATATTCATCTCTCAAAGCACAAAACAGAGAACTGAAGCCTGAGGACACCTGCAGGGGATAATAACAACGGGATCTCATAGAGCATTACCAGGTCCCTCTGACAGAGCAGGTCTGTGCTTTGTGCCTTGAAAGGAGGCAATTGCGAGCAAAAGCTTTCCTTTTCTTTTCTTTTTTGTGTGTGTGTGTCTCAACAAAGCAGGTATGAACCCTATTGAACATGAGAGGTCCACTGACCAGGTCTTTACTGGGGGAATCATTGTCGTCAACCGGTACCTCGACACACAAACAGCCAAATTCAAACCAAAAATTAGCTCATTGCTTTAACAATAGTTTAACACATGCAATTTTTGTGATCAGTGATTGTATTCTTTGAAATATCCCTTGCCCAGTCACTGTTGCAAAATGAGACTTACTATAATGGATTTAGTCAAATTAAGCTCAAAATCAATTGTTTTTAAAGAGATTCCCTTTGTGAGAAAGCCAATATTGCTCGTTATACTGCAAGCATATTTCAGTGAGAAGGCAGTGCAAAATAAAGCTAGAGCGTATTTACTGTATATTTTCTGTCAAAATGTTTTGGCCTTAATTCACAATAACACTTAATTATATTTATTTAGGAGGCTTGTTTTACCACTGACCCTTAAACCGCCTGAAACTCAAACGCTCAAGCACGGCTTCAGTTGCGGACCCTGTGGGAGAGAGAACTCAAAACTGATACGTTTAAAACCAGCTTCCACAGCCGGAAGAGAAAGTGAGAGGAAGAGAAAGCGAGAGAGAGAGAGGTAGAGACTAGGAGATGTGAGAGAGTGAGAAACAGAAAGCCCACAGAGTGACAATCATCCGACTGAGAAACATTTTGGGATCGCAATACACACCACCTCATGTCTCCATCATTGCTTTTCACCCCCTCCCTGTCTGTTAGCCAAGAGTCAACTGAGGCAGAAAATAGGACAAGGTAGAGATCCAAATTGAAAATCTTGAGAGACAAAACACACAGTGGAAGAATAAAAAAGGTAATATCTTAATTTGGACACAATATTACAAAAAAAAAAGAAAAAAAAAAAGAATTGGATGTTTCACTTTTCACCATTTTATTTTTTTGCCACAATATTTGGGGATTGAATTCAATAGGGTTCATATTCTTATGCTCTGAGGCACACCAGCACTTACCTCTGGGTTTTGCAGCCTTACACAAAACAATCACTCTGCAGTAAGCAGTTCACATGCATGCATGCATGCCATGCTACATGTAAAATTCATTCAGAATTAATCATCTGAACACCATACTCTTCAATGCTTTCATGGGGTTCAGCATTTACGCGTCATGCAAATTTTAAATTCATGAAATTCATGAAATTATTTAATCACTGAGCTAAGCACTCTTGTTTTCAAACTGACATTTTCTTAATTAAATTACTTCACCATCATTTTGAAGGTTATAGTTGTATTACCAGAAACTGTATTCATTAAAACTAATTCAGGTATGCCTATATAAAGACTGTAAAATGTAAAATCAAGTTACTCATCAGTTGGCCACTTTAATAGGACATGTGAGTCAAATTGTAAATAGTATATTTATACAGTATTCACAGCTTTTTAACTATTTTTGTCTTGTTAAAGGCAAACCTAAGTCACTGAATACAGTAAGTTAGTTATCTGGAGTACTGCTACCTCCACAACTCCTGCTTTGAGACAAACACAAGCCGAGACCAGACAAAGGTGTGCATGGTTATCCACAAGGAAAGCCCACTTACCTGTGGTGGACCTGATGGTGGAGGTTACAGTTGATGATGTCATGGAGGGGACACAGTCATCGTCCTGTGAGAATCCAGCCTGGATGGCTCGCAGGTAACTGTGGCTGCGTGTCCTGAAACAGCCCGGCAAGTCCAAAGCATCCATTGCCTGAGACTCCACCTCACTGAACACGGATTCACACACCGACTCAAACTGTCCATTAACCTCGGTCTCGCTCACCTGCAGAAACAGAAAAACGAGTCAATATATCTCAGCATGTTTCTTCGAACCATTCTTCATCTGGATGAATTTCTTCCATTTCATGGCTTTATTTGCAGTTAGGCCTATGTTTATCCCTCAGTCTCAGTGTTCAGTCTAATCTTATCTACACAGGACTGTACAGTACGTGAGATAAAAAATTGTGATATTGTCACGGCAGAATCTCTGCAGATCAAACATGAAGCCTTCCTGCAGATGACGGAGGAAATGAAATGCTTTCTTTAAATCCTTCCCATTCCTGAGCAATAACTGGTTATTCGACTTGAAAAATCTGAGATGAGCATCTTTGTGATAAAGCGATATATCTAGTCAAGCTGAACTTGCCTGATAGGATTCTTACTAGCCACCAGATTGCCATTTAGAAATCTCTAAAATCCAAGATTGCCATCAAGTTCCATTGAAAGGGAATTATCCTCTAATGACCACAGCAAGTCACTGATGGTGCTTAGAAATCCAGAGCGAGTGAGCATGTGTGCAAAATGCGGGTCCGAAGAAATAAAAACCATGCTGTAAGACCTCAAGACAAATCAATACAACCCACATTACTTCACTTTCAGAGAGATTTAGATGTTAGAGGCTGATAAATCTGGCTATTTAGAAACAGACAAACACAATAAAACTATATTGTATATAAATGGGAAAATGGGGCCTAAATCCTCTGTAAGTGTTGTGCTTTTCTGCACCATTGACGAGTGTGAAAAACCCTAGATTACTTTAAGCTTTGTGAAGCCGAGCAGATGTGACTCTCACCTGGCTGACTTGGCTGACGCAACTGGCCTGGCTCAGGGTGCTGACCGCTCTCATGTAGCTCTGGTTCCTGGAGCGGAACTTTGGCGAGTTGTAGTTGGGAGACGGTTCCAGTGTGATGCTGGGATGGATTTCCCTAGAGGTCTGAAGATGGTAGCTTTGACTATGCAGTAAGACATGCAGTGAAGATGGCAATGAAAGGAAGAGAAGGTAATAAAAAAGAAAGTGAATTATATACTCTATCTATCTATCTATCTATCTATCTATCTATCTATCTATCTATCTATCTATCTATCTATCTATCTATCTATCTATCTATCTATCTATCTATCTATCTATCTATCTATCTATCTATTTATCTAATAACAACTAAGAATTACTACATTAAGGATCATGTAACAACTCTTGCATTATTTATCTATGCCCTTTGAAGCCATCCCCTCTTTCTGAGTCAATGCAACTTAAAAATGGCATTTCGATTGGCTGTGCTGAAGCATCCAATCAATGCAGGACAATTAAGCACAATGCAAATTAGAGGCTACTTAATGAGCCACTGTGCCTGTGCACTCAATACTATCTAGAAAAAAAATCATATGACTCCCCAAAAGAGAAAAACAGAGCAAAGGAAAAAAGAGTAATGGTATTTCACAAAGGTTTGATTTAATAAAGATTTATACAATTAGTTTTTGAGTTGTCTTTACTGAAAAACTTATAATGACTTTTATTTTTCTAAGCATGCATCAAAGTCTACACTACCTTTGCAAGTTTTGAACAGCTAAGTGTGTGTCTGCTCATATTCACCTTAAATCTGCGGTGATATTGGTGAGGTATTTGACCATGTCCCGGCTTGACTTGTCAAAACGGTATGAGCTGTGAACAGAGGTGAAAGAGTTGATTTTTGTAGAAAATCTAAATGGTGAAAGTAACAGTTAACAAAATAGTTTCAAACTCTAGTTGAGTTTGGGATTAGTTAAATAATCTTTCTGCACAATTCACACTGCAGCGATTCCCCTCTAGAAATATAATCCCACTTTCTCCCACTTTCTCTCAACTCCATCTCCTGAGAGCTGTAGAAATGTGCAAACAAACTCATTCCTGAACCCTCAGTGTAGATCGTGGTGATATTTCTGCTGTGAGATTCTGCTGGGCAAGTAAGAAAAAGACCACACAAGCACAGCTCAAATGATTACCATTCAGGAGAGACAATAGACAAAACCAAGGCTCTTTCGAATCTGAGATCTTAGTTAGAAAAGATGGTTGGAGTGTTTGCTGATGAAGTTACAGAGCGTGAAGAGACTCTTCACGGACGCAGGGATGGATTTGATGCTGCTGTTGGTGATGCTTGAGCTCTGAGCTCTAAAAATCAATAGAATCAATGTGTCTCCCTCGGTTTGCACGGTGTGCGTCCTTCTCTGCTGCTGCGGGGGACATTTCTAAGCCTCAGCCTCGTGCTGTAACTACAACACATTCTGAACCTCCACAGTTAAACTGCAGAGGGCAGATGTTCAGCATGTGTAAGCTCATCTCTGCAGAGAGTTTCATTAGAGTGGTCTCTCGCATTTAGTTATTTTGAATCTTTGAATCTTATTTTGAAAAAAAAAAAGGAAACCGATGCATTAATTTTCCAACACAATGAACTTTTCTCAATGTTTCCAGCAGGTTGTTAAAAATCTAAGCATATTACAAATATACTGGGAGGTTGCGAAGGACTCTAAAATCACTCATTTCACGGTGCCATTCGACACCACTGCACTTTACAGTGCCGAATTGAACTGATGATCTTAACACTGATTGGTGATGAGCTCCTCAGAATGTCAGTGTATCTATTCATTTTGCTGACCTTCTGCTAGCTGTGTGTCGTCAGCACCCTCTTACAGTCTCTCTATATTCTGTGGGGATTTCCAACAGCGGGTCTCTGCCACGCAGAAATAAATGATGTTGTTTTGAGTGATCAGCTTGCATGCACACTTAAATCTTAGCATGCTTTGATATATTGTCACTGCATCATGACACCCCCTGCCCTGCCAAATCTGCACTGTTCCATCAGAAAATACTGCTGTTCCTTCCTTAGTGGAAAATGTAGCATTTGATCTGTTCCAAAATATAGTGAGCCTAAAAGGATTGGCCAAAGATATTGCCATTTTATACCTTTTAAAAAGGAAAAACAAAAACTAATTATAAATACAATTTTTATAATTAGAAACATTATGAAAAGAAAGTTAAATCAATGGGCAAAGCTCCAAAAATACAGAATTATATTGACAGACTGTATATTTGTGGAGCCGTGGTGTGCCGACTTGATTTTTTTTCTATTTTTAGTTATTTTTGGCTGAGCACTCACTTTAAGCAATCTGCCAGTGATGTGTGTCTTACAATCTTAAAATTTCTTTTACTGTCTATGTGTGTGTCCCTGTCACGATTCCTGTCTTGTGTTTTGTTATTTCCTGTTCTGTGTCATGTTTTGTAGTCCTTTGTAGATTTTCTTGTTTATTAATCTCTGCAGGTGTTTCTAATTAGCCCCGCCCCCTTGTTATCTTGTTTAGCTTGTTTGTCTGTGTATTATTTTGAGTAGAGCGATCACTGGATTCAGCATTTTTCAGCTTTCGGACGCAGACATTCACCGTATCACTATAAGTAATATCAGTAATCTTCAGCGTATCAGTAATCGACAATGAGTAAGGGCAATTAGAAATGCTTAAGCATGCATCACACAAGATGGAAGATCAACAAGAGCATATTTCAGCAGATTGCTGGCCTACAACATCATCCTCCACATGTTGTTCGGAGCTGATCAGATGGCCTGTTGAAACTTAAGCTTGTCTTCTCAAGTCTGATTTTCATAACAGAAAGCAACAGTGGGTGAATCATTTCCTCTAGATTCAATAGCTCAGTTTAGATCCACAAAAAGTGCCAGAACATGGCAGAACATTTCATTTGTTTGTACAAAATCATGTCTTGAGTAACTGCCGAGACGTGGGCCAAAGGATCTCCAAAGGAATGAGCATTACATGCTAGCTCTGAAAAAATAAAGACAGATTAAACTAATCTTGACATTTGAAAACCTAAAATGACATTTTGGAAGTGCAAAATGACAATATAATAGAAAAAAGAAAAATCTAAATAGCTATTAATTAAAGGTACACTATGTAACTTTTTTTTTTAAATTAACTAAATTGAAATAATGAGTCAATACATCAAGTACTGTATACTTTCAAAATGTTTTGTATTACTGTATGTTGAATCACTATGACTGGTAGTGAATATATATCTTATATTTTAGACCTACAGGATGGTTTTAGTTGGAAATAGGCTACAAACGTAACTGCATACATATGTATACTTGGGTAGACAGGTTGTTACAACGAGCGAGAAAGATTGATTTGGAGCATGCTAAATTTCTATCCTCCGGTGAATCACCCGTTTTTTTAAAAAAGAGGAGGAGAGTCTGCTGGCAAAAAGAGAACAGAGCTTGTAATAAAATGAGTATCAACATTGGCATTGGCTTTTCATAGATGGCAAAAACTGAGGGATTTGAAATGTTGTAAAAGCGACACAGATGCATTTTTTTATTACTCAACAAAGTATAAGTAGGTATTTTATGAATAGATAAATTGGCATATGTAGCTCATTTGTAGCTATTTCATTATGGGTTGTTGTAGTGCTGTGCTGGATTTTTTTAAGGAAGTACAGTATCTATCAATGGGTACAGTAACGTCTTCAGCTAGTCGGCTTAAAGGATTAGTTCACTTTTAAAAAAACTTTTGCTGATAATTTACTCACCCCCGTCATCCAAGATGTTCATGTCTTTCTTTCTTCAGTCGAAAAGAAATTAAGGTTTTTGATGAAAACAGTCCAGGATTTATCTCAATATAATGCACTTTACTAGTAACCAAACTGAAACCGTTTTTTGGACCTTGAACCGTTTGGTTACCAGTAAAGTGCATTATATGGAGAAAAATCCTGGAATGTTTTCATCAAAAACCTTAATTTGGTATGGGTATGGGATTTGCAAATCCGTCAACAGATTTTGAAAATACACAACTCAAAGGTCCTACCTTCTTTCCTCCAACACTGGCCCTGACTCCACCCATTCGAAGAACATGGACACGCGATCATGCATTGGCAAAACTCAGATGCACGAGATTGCACTCTATCTCTCTCTCTCTGCACTGGGGCGACTTGCACTTACTGTGACTGGGTCACGAGCTTCGAGTATGCGCACAAAGGGGACACGCGTGTGGGGGATGGGGGAGGAGGGTATGGTACGACCGTTTGATTGACGCACTGACTGTCCAATGATTCTAGGTGGTCTTGGAAATGATTGGCTGAGTTTTTCGAGTCCTGCCCATTCCACAGATGATTAAATTGCTTAATTTTCATTTTTAGTGCTTCAAACTCAGTGGCCGTAAGTGGGTTAGGAAAGGAATTTCAAGAGATTATTTAAAAATTCTTATTTAAAAAACATACCCCAGCTTTAAGACCTTATCCATCTAAAATGGTTAAAGCCTATCTCTTAAGCCTTTTAGTGAATAGCTTTATGAGCAGTAGGATAACCAAATTCATCCACACAGTCACGCAGAGCCGAAGTTGTCCAAAACAATGTTCTATTGCAAAATATATGCAGTTGATAACATAAAAGTTAGTATATCTTTAAAATAGTAATTTACTGTCTTCTACAATCAGAATGCAGCTTCACAAGTGACATCACACCATTCTCATACTGTGATATTTACCTTGTGAGTACTATGTGAGCTCATTGTGCATTGTTGAGCAGGTTGAGAGGAGGCAGTTCAAATATCAGTCACTAGGGGGACATTCTACTTCCTGTCTCTCAACCCTTGAAAGATTGGGGTGGAATTGGTACAGTAAACTGGAAAAATGGTGGGGTCTCATTGCTATTCACATACGCTCATATGATATTATATTGCCAATATGCTTTGTGGCCTGGCCCTGTGTTATCAGAATACTGGCAAATGGCCAGCCATCTTGCCAGCTCAGGTGTAGAATCACCTGGTTTCGGTTATCACACCAGCTGAGCTGATTAGCCGCCGTTAAGTTGCATTCAAGCGGCAACCTCCCCGTCTCTCTCATAGACTGTAAAAAAAGATTTTTGTAAAATCTGTAAAAAAAGATTTTTTTTTTTTTTTTTTACAGATTTGAAAAATGACCCCACCATTTTTCCAAAGATTTTTTTTTTATCCCTTTTGCTCTCTTTCATTGGTCAGAACTGAAGCCGCCAGTATCCCGATATGGCGCTGACATCTTGGAACTTGTGCCTGTGCAGTAGTGATTTCGGGAGCAGCCATGCGCAGTAGTAAGCAATGAGTTAAGCCACGAAATCAAGGCCCCACCTTGTCTGCCATGCTGACTCAACTGATATGTATGCGCACGAATCACTGTCACATGCACAAACTCAGAGCAATATTGTAAGTTACTGCATGATAATACATTTTTATAGCAGAATAATAATACATCACAATACACAGTCTCACTTTCAGTTACATCTTTTATTATAATATTTTGAAGGGCAAAAACATGAACTTTAACTATTGGCTTTAATTCTTCAATCAGCTGTCACTTTAGGACGAGGCCAGTAGCATATAGCATTAGCCCCTCAGCTCCACCCACATCACGCCTCTTTACCCATTATATTTTATGGTAGTGGCGAAAGGTGACGTGCTGCCAAGATGGCGACGGCCGCCCACTTTAGGCTTCAAAAACGCTCTTCAGAAACCTACGGGTGACGTCATGGACACAACGTCCATATTTTTTTGGATGCAAAATATTTTTGGTCTATGGTTGCATATCAGTATTTATGAATTGTTAGACCTCCTATATCAGATCATTACTAGGCTACATTACAAACGTGATCATATTTCAATGTGTCTGTCTTAACAATCGCACATAATACAAAATAACAAAGAAACTGAATTTTTAAAATACTTTCTTGATGGAAATAAAATATGAACTTCTACATGATGTTTGTGATATAACTGACCCATATAAGAGAAATTTAGGTCACAGTGAACTCACACTAAACCAACAGAATGAGAGTTTATCACAATGATATCACAGTGGTCTCATATGGTGAGTATACAGCATGAGTGCACTGTGAACTCACATTGTGACCACAGTATGAGTGTATCCTGTAAGTTCACAGTTTGAGCACATAGTGAGTGCGCTGTGAGCTTATCCTTTTCACTCGCTATGACCTCACATTGTGATCACATCAGTATCCTGGGAGCTCATGGTGAGATCACTGTGAGATCAAATGGTCGACTGGGTTGGCTTTCCGCTGTGCATAAAGAAATTTTTACAGATAAATATATTTTCCTTTCAGAGATTACATTTCAACACATTTAAACATAAATCGCAGTCACGCACTTAAAAGTCCCCCTGTGGAAAAAATCCAGCTTTTAATGTTGTTTATATGTCTATGATGTGATGTTTTAAAAAAGCTTTCAGACAAACCAAATTCATAAGTCAACACCGTTGCTGAGTATTTTCTCCTTAAATCTGCAGTGAACCACCAAGGACAGTCTCACAAACACAGTACTGAAATCACTGGTGTTTCTGACGTCATAAACTACCTTGTAACCAATCAGGTCAACATGTGATTGTCAACGAGTGGATCTCTGAGGTGGTGCGAGTGAGTGGAAACAGGGCTAATCTGCATATTCACAGAACCGCCTATACTAAATGAGGCAAGGGTTACATTCAAGCTATTTTAAGGAATATTTTTCAAGGAAAAATCATTAAAACATGTAATTTTGGCAATCAAAGATGAGTTTTAAGGGATACAGTTATTGACTACATGGGGACTTTAAGACAGATTTGAACACTTTATACTTAGATCTAATCATCTTACCCATTAAGATATTAATTTCTTCTTTTCTTAAAATGGCAACAAAAAAGAGCTTTCTGGAGAATGATTGAGGAAGGGACTATGAAATTCTTAAAAGCAGCCAGCGCTAATAATTTCTTACCTGAATCTCACGCTAACTTACACTGTAGCTAGATATAATGGGACACATCTTTATGTGGAATCCCTGCCGCCTTACAATCTTAATACTGTATAAGTATACTTTTTCATAATACATGATGAATACACTGTTCCATAATCCATCATGAATGCACTGTTCCATGCACCTACTCAAGGGAAGAGCTCATTTGATGTGCTACACTCTCTTTCATTAGATGTACTTTGAGAGAGGCAGACTTGCCAAATTTATAACATCATGTGTCAGAGCTCTGCATAATGGTGTACAGCCCCTGTAATACAGAGCAGAAAATAATCCTCACGTCTGGGGGAGAACAAAGGCACCAGGTGGTATTGTGCGAGAGAGCGAATACAGTGTAACAGGAATATCCTAAAATTCAATGCTGGCTGAAAATAGTACAATATCTGGAATGTATTAACTTCTTAGTGTGTTTAAAATTTATACAAAATGATTGTGACTTTTTTGTTACCAGATATTACTGAAAGTTTAGCTTATTTATGACGTAAATTTAGCATTTGGCATTTAATATTCAGTGCTTGACATGACCAGCAGACTGTAGAAGGATCTCGCCTTAGTCAGAGATGTCTGACTCACACTTGCTTTCTATAATAAACACACAGCATTGCTTTTTGATATGAAGAACACAGATGCAGCAGGTGTCAGTGTGTACTGAATCACTTTCAGCAGCTTATATGATTATATGCGTGTTTGTCATCTTAATTTCTTCAGTTTTTCACTCAAAGTACCAGTATTTCTAAATGCCGGTTTCAAGAGGTAAACCAGGCTGTCCCGTTTTCATACCGAGAGTCTATAATGTTCAATCTGTGATGTGACTGCAGATCTTTCATGATGGCTCATAAAAACTAATTTGCATATTCAACTAAAAGGATCTCACATGTTGCAGAATGTGGGCCTCTGTGATTAGGGATAAATAACTGGTTAATGATTGCATGGCTGTTTTCTACTTCATCACTTTGTGCATTAATCACTCTAATCTCTGATTAGATGGGCTTTCTAATGAGATTCATGGGCTGATCAAAGTTCCTACCTCTGGTCTGAAAGTTGTCTCTGTAGCACGGATTTGACGAGCGCGTCGGGTCGCACGCTTTTCTGCGGGGAGTTTTTAGGGCTGCCGTCAGAGTCTCCGCTGTCCTGATCGCCCATGGCTTTAACATAACTGCTGCTCCGCATCCTTCTGCATGGGATCTCCTCATCTCTCCCTCCCCATTCATCCTGAGGGACCTGTACATACACACATACTGTTTTCATATAACAGATATATAATTATGTATAAATATAGACACACCTTACCCAGATGGACAGAAGGATAGGAAAGATAGCTGTTAGAAAATCTGTTACCTAGTACCTCTGTTCACTTCCTATTTGTTAAGAAATTATTTTTTTCGTAAGCATTTCAGACCCCATTTTGGACCCTTTTCTGTCAAAACTTAGGTTTGATCACTTTTTTGTTCTCTTTTTTCTTATTTTGTATCAGCTGATCACGCTCTGCAATCAGTAATTTCTCCTTGTCTCTTGATTCAGTTCTCTGCCTGTGTGTTTTGAGTTTCCAGCCTATTTTCCCATTATTTTGTTAAGTTTGCGTTGCCTGTTTGTTTTGTTTAGCTTTTCTTTTTCTTACATTTTTCTCTTCTGCTCAGGTGTGCTGCGGTTGCCGGTCTTGGACAGTTCTCCTGGTTTTGACCATCTGACCTGATTCTCAGTACACAGCTGGCCTGCTTGGACTGTCTTGCCATTCTGATTATCAACCTGATCTAAATGGTGAGCTTGGATTTCTCTGATACTGTAGGCTTTTTGTTTGATCTCTCTGTTCGTCTGAGCTCGCCTCTCGCTTCAGGATTGGATAATATATTTCCTGATGGACTGATCTGGATTTCGACCCTGACCTGTTTGACTTTCCCTTTTCTCATTGCCCAGAGTTGGTTCTGTGAACTTTAAGTAAAAATGGAGCATCTTTAAAAGTAGATATGTCTGTTTATGAAGCAGTCAGCAAGAACAAGAAAATAAGAACACTGTATGCATTAAACGGCTGGATGCTCATTAAAACAGAGTCCAACACAATTCATTGCCAACACCGCTGACATAGTGACATTGTCACGGCTGTTATCCATCACCTATTCTGGCTGACATTTAATTCTTGGCACTTTCCCCAAGAACATCTTCACAGACACCACTTATCACAGACTATCTTTATATGTGGACAGTGACTGAGTAATATTACCATTGTTGTCATGATCTCTCTTCCTGTGAATGAACAATGTCTCATTGAGATCTGATAAGTGACTGAACGATCACATGTGAGAAACAAGGCACTGACACATTTATGATGTGTTATTCTTTCACACTAGCAGAGAACAAGTTTATCACCTAGCAACCGTCCTCATCCTCATAACCTTCATAACACTACTTTGCATTAGTACTCTGAAAACATCCTCTCAGACCAACACATTTTTATAGGCCAAGAGATGAATTCATTATAACATAGTAACAGAAGAACTCTACAGTGCTCTAACAGGAATATTTTTACTCCTGTTGTTCAAAACTCTTTTTTTCAGTGGAACATAAAAGGAGGATCTGGAAGAACTGTGCCGGTCACTTTTTTTCATGTCACTACATTGAACGGAGACGGAGATTTCAAAGCTTTCAAAAGGAACCCCAAATTACCATAAAAGTGATACATATGACATTCCAAGTAGTTCTATAGGTTTTAATAAAAAGCAATCTTAAATTTAATCAAATTCAAATTTAAGATCTTCTTGGAACATTCATGAAAGTTCAAACAATTTATTCTTCTTATATTGTTATTCAAAAGTTTGGGGTAAGATTAAAAAAAGAAGAAGAAGGATAATGAGCATGACCTCTGCACGCCACACAGGCCTCGTATCTCCAATAGAGGAGCTATGGAAGCATAAAAGGAAGACTGTCAACAGTGAAGGACTAAAGAGGACCAAGCCTGGACTTTACATTATGTTTTGTTGATGTGTGTCCAGCAGTTGTCTGCGAAGGGTTGACGCTTTTACTTTCGTTATGTTGTTTCTTTATTTATTAATCATTTAAAGTATGTGAAATGTTCGCCGGTTTCCACCTCCTTCTTCCCTTATCAACATACCTTTTTATAATACTTTTTTGTAAGCAAAGACGCATTAAATTGAACAAAAGTACGAGGTAAAGACATAATGCTACAAAAGATTTGAAATAGGTGCTGTTCTTTTGAACTTTCTATTTCAGTTTATAATTGAAATTTTTCTTGAGCAACAAATCATCATATTAGAATGACTTCTGAAGGATCATGTGACAAGACTGGAGTAATGAGGCTGAAAATACATCATATGTCACTTTGTCATCACATGAATAAATGTAAAAAAAAAATTAAAATAGAAAACGTCTCGGTTACGTATGTGACCCTCGTTCCCTGAGTACAGGGAATGGATACGTGTCGTCGGGGGAGTTCCCTGACGAATTGGGATCACGCTAGGGAGCCTATTGCCTTCGAGAGAATTAAAAATGAGCCAATAACATTGGCATGCAAAATTTGCATTCCACAAGCTGCCTACCAGCACGAGTATAAAAGGCGGAAGTAAACACTGCATGACGCTTTTCGCTGAGGAGCCGAACAGTGTCCAGTCCTTCGCGAAAGTACAGCAACATGGCCAAGGGACGACAAGTCTCTGTTCCCGAGGGTTACACACATAACTGAGACGTGCCCTTTCGTCCTGGGAACTCCGACGTGTCGTTGGGGGAGTTCCCTGATGAATTGGGATCCCTAATAATACACCATCGTGCTGGCCCCTTCCAGCGCCCAGCTACACTACCCTGCAGCAGTTTCTTAACAAATTGCGGGAGCTAGCTAGTGGACATGGATAACACTGGGAAAGCGTGCCCTAACCCGTACCCGTAACACCAGCCGCCTGGTGAGGGCCGGGAATACACACATGTACTAACCCAGAGGGATAGTGAAACATGTGGCAGTCCCCCAGGTAGTCCCAATCCAAGGGAAGTGGGAGCGTACTCAGCAGGGACGACAAAATGTGTCTGTCAAGGGGAAGACACGGCTGCAATGCACGTGGCATTATGGGTCACCGAAGAGACCACTGGACAAACACCCAGTCTACAAACAACTCCCTAAGAGGTAGCAGACCTGGCACCAGCGGTCCGCCATGCCTGGCACCGGAGGGGTGATGGAGGAACTCACAAGGCTCGCCAACGTAGGGCGCCAACGGAGCAGAAGACACACATATCCAGCCAGACACAACCTATTTCGCTGTATTTTTGTATCCTGTTCCTTGTTTCTGAAAGACGATCTTCTCTTAACTTTTGGACCATTCTTTTGACTTCTGGCCATATTTCTAACATGCAGTCAAACGTGACACTCTACAATAGCCAGTTCAGATATTTCATGTGTTCTAGCACACCTGGTACAATGAATGAAGCCCTTGATTAGATACTGTACATCAGGTGTGCTTGAGACATCACCTGTTTTGAAGATATGTGCTGTTTTGAGGGATTCTATTTAGGTAGTTGAATAATTTTAAGACTGCAGAAGTCATTAAAAGTGGCATTTTCCATTAAATTTTGGGAAACCACTTGAAACATTTGTTGTGTTGAGTAATATTTCAATTACTTTTGTTTGATTTGAACAGCTGAAAGTCAGAACATTTTGGCAATAGAACTGATTTACAATGGAGGTTGAATAATTTCTATTACAACTGTATGATATTTAAAATAAAACGGCTTTATTAACTCTGTGACTGTGTCCTGCCTCTCGTCCGGGTCACGGGGCACATTTCAATGGCCTTGTGGTCTTTAGCATTCTGCAAGAAGAATTATTCTGATCCAGGAGTCAATGAAAATTAGTAAATGTCACAGACACCCTTATACACACACCCACACACATACACACACATAATCCATAGAAGTCTTTAGGTTAATTAAGTCTTGAAGGACACTGATATTTTTAGACATTTAATTAACCAAAAACGCCAGAGGACAGACACAATCTGTGGTGTAAAACTCTTGATAAATCACTGAGATTTGAGTCCCACTCCCCCAGTATGGAAGGCCCATATGACCAAGGCTGTAAACAGTGTGACATATAGGCTATGTCGCACATGCCACGAAAAAACCGATGAATAAATTTTCCACAGTGGCATGCGAGCGATAGAGTTTTGCATGTATGTGAGACAGAGCGACATGTTTCTGGAAGTGAGCATTTGTTGTGTCTTTGATTGTGTGCACGACATAGCGATTTGGCTTAGTGTTATCATGGAATCACAAAGGCAGTGATTTTTGATTAAATATATGCACAAAATGTTTCATTGTGAAGTGTAGTACTGGTCAGAGCAGATTGATTGGTTTATGTACTCAGCACATATCGTCAGTCGAGCGTTTGAAATAACTTCCTTTTCTGATCTGACATGGCTTCATAACATAGAATGAGGTAAAAATGATATAATTTTATAGTATTCTTTACAGTGATAAGTCTATGTTGATTAGCATTGCATTATAAATATACTATATTCTTATGAAAATACCAGAGATGTCTAAAACAACACAGATAAACCATATATTGTTGCAATCGTATGTTTATTGTCTTCATGTTTCATCAGTCAAAATGTCTCTATCTGCATTTTATTCTGCTACAGCGATATTTGTCTGCCTTTGTCCATTTAAGTGGGTTCTTGAAGCGTCATCGGTTTTATGACTCCTATGAGTCTCACTTGTGGAGCGTCCTTCGGCTACCATTATAAAAGAAACAGACTGCTCACAGTCACACCACCCTATTTTGGGTAAGAAACAAACAACCTTCTCTCTAAAGAAATAGCAAGGTCAAGGTCATGTTTTTTGCAGACAGGAAAATTTCGGCAATCCATATATAAAAACATTAAAACAAACAATAAGCATAGAACATTATTAAGTATCCAAAGCCTAAAACTTCCACAGTAAAAGGAACATGGCAATGTGCCTCTACACCACCAACGAACCCCTGCCAACCCACCCCCCACCCTCCCTACCCGCTCCCCCCATGGCTAAAACACATAAGGTGATATACATAGCAAAGAGTGTCATACTGCTATTTTTATTCATTATCTGAACATAAATAACAGAAACAGAAATATGAACATAAGCGGATCCATACGTTTTTCTGCAGTGTATGTGATGAACTGCACTACTTGTGGTTGCTTTCAGAGATGGTAATAAACATTTTATAATTGTGTTACAAATGG